CATCGTTTTGTTACTAATATTATAGAGTCGATATCGATAGGCTTAGAGTAGTACAACGAGACGAACTAAGGACCTAGCTAGATGATAATTCACTTTCCATTTTACCTTCTTCTAAGCTCTCCCACCTCAACTCGCTCTTGGCAGTTGCCAAAAGTCAAAAGGTTATGAGCCCAACTACGCCGGATGCGGGCGACATAATCCGCGAAGATAACTACTTCGTGTGGGAGTTCAACGCAAGGATGAGGCTGGCAAAGAAGGGATTGATAGAGCACCTAGACGCTATGAAGGCCCCAGAAGAAGGAGACGCAAGCGCGTCAACTTGGAAAGTCAACGACATGAAGGCCTTCGCGATTGTGTCCACAATGATCAGCACAAATCTTCAGTCAATGGTGCGCACGGCAGAGACAACGGCAAAAGCATGGGACATACTGAAGACTTTCTTCCTGCGGCAAAGTATGCACAATCGTGTGCAGTTGCGGCGGCAACTACATGAGTTCAAGTTGGCCAAGGGAGGAAGCATCATGGATCACTTCCTGAGATTTGACGAACTGTGCATGACTATGCAAGCTGTGGGACAAGAGATCTCACAGGATGAGCATTTGGTCATCCTATTGGGTAGTCTAACGAGAGACTATGACCCCATCGTCAAGATAATTGAGAACATGCCCGGAATGACACTGTTTCACGCTAAGGAAATGCTGAGACGGGAGTACGATGGAATGGCGAGGACAGAACACCAAGAAATCGCACTGAAAAGTACGCACACTTCCAAGTACAAGAAAGGTCCGCGCAGACATGCGGGGAGATCAAGTTCAAGAGGTGAAAAGTTCTCGGGAAGGTGTTACCGATGTAACAAATATGGGCACAAGCGTCAAGATTGCAAGGCTGAACAAGTGGAGACAGAGCGATCTGGAGAAGAGAGAGCATTTACTGCGTCAAGTCGGACGTCAGCTGGATGGTTATTGGACAGTGGGGCAAGCAGCCACATGTGTCCCGACAGAAATGAGTTTTCGAATTTAAACTCACTGACGGACCCGATCATGATCACCATAGCAGACGGCAGCGAAGTGGAAGCGCAAGGTGTTGGGACAGTGCGCGTGCAACTCAAGACTGGTGAAGTGATCAGGATCGAAGAAACGCTATGGGTGCCGGGCCTAGACCGAAGGCTACTGTCAATATCGGCATTGTCAAAGAGGGGTCTACAAGTGATCTTCTCAGATCTGAGCTGTCAGATCAGAAGTAACACGGAAGTCGTTGCCCAAATACCAAGACGAAACAAGATGTGCGTCTTAGAGTGCAGTCCGGCTGAGGTAGCCAACGTTTGCGAAGAGACATCTCAAGAGCAAGAATCAGGTGACGGATCAGGAGCGGCTGATCTACAAGTGTGGCATGCAAGATTAGGTCACCTGTCAACGAAGATGCTCAAGGGTATGGCAGGTTGCGTCAATGGATTAAAGATCAAGAAGAATCAAGGCGTTGAAGATGATATCGAGATCTGCGAAGGGTGCATCATGGGTAAAGCAACCGTCAAGACGTTTCCGAAGTCACCATACGGACACGTGAAAACCAAGGAAGTGTTGCAGTTGGTCCACAGTGATGTCATGGGACCTATGGAATCGAAGTCTCGAGGAGGATCAAGATTTGTCGTGACTTTTATTGATGATTATTCGAGATATATAGTCGCATACTATATTGAGAACAAGTCGGAAGTGACGGATCGCTTTATAGAGTATAAGGCACTTATGGAGAATCAATTGTCCAAGAAGATCAAGTGTATCAGGACGGACAACGGGACGGAATACGTCAACAGACGTTTCTCCGGTGTATGTCGAAAATCTGGTATCATGCATCAGACGACGGTACCCTATTCGCCACAACAGAATGGGCTGGCCGAACGCATGAACAGGACACTGACAGAGCGGGCCAGAGCAATGCTCAGCCATATGCAAGTGGATAAAATTTGGTGGGCTGAGGCGATGAACACGGCAGTCTATGTGACAAACCGAGTTCCATGTGCTAGTCACCCGACTAAAACTCCATTTGAGTTCATCTTCGGGAAGAAGCCTGACCTCTCCGAGATGTGTGTATTTGGATCAAAGGGATATGCACATGTCGACAAGTCGAACAGGACCAAGATGACCAAGAAGGCGATTCGATGTATTTTTCTAGGTTACTCGGATCAAATCAAGGGGCTTCGAATATGGGATGAAGATGCCAAGAGGGTGACGCACACGAGATCGGCTAAATTCGATGAGAGACCACCACTTCAGTACGTGCAACATTACAGCAGATCAAGTGACCAAGAGTTTCGCGCTGTTCATGACGAAGACACTGTTTCTATCGATTTAGAACAGCCACGAGTCACGAAAGACATGGACATAGCAATGGAGGACAGTCACAGTGTTCAAGAAGAGAGTCACATGCAAGACAGGCGTACAACAACGATGGCTCTACCATCAAAATGCAGTAGCAAGATGCCTGAACACGTGGGTTCCAATGCTGACGATCCAATGTTTGAAATTGATGATGTGACGATGATTGAAGAAGATCAAGAATCGGCTGAAGAAGTGTCAAGACAAGGACAGATGGTGATACGACCAAGTCGACAGACAAGTATTCACGCATCGCAAGAAACCGCGATGGTTCCACTAGAATCGGTTCAACATGGACAATCTCAAGCGTTAATACCAGTGAATGGTGCTGATGAGGACTTTTATGACGGCTCAGAAGTGTGTCAAGAAAAAGGCACAAAGAGACTACGTATTGGGTATGAGCAAGCATGTGCAGCGTTCGAGACCCCAACGACATACGAAGAAGCTCTTAAGTCACCTCGTCGTGATAATTGGTACAAGGCCATTCAAGCTGAGCTCAAGGCATTAGAGGAAAAGGACACCTGGACTGTTCAAACACAGCGTCCAAACCAGAAAGTGATTGGAACCAAGTGGGTGTTCGCACTCAAACGAAACGAGCTGGGTGAGATTATTCGATACAAGGCACGTCTTGTAGCACTTGGCTACAGGCAGACGTATGGAGTTGACTACATGGAGACATATTCACCTGTGGCAAACCTCAACTCAATACGAGTGTTTTTGGCGGTGTGCTGTCAAAAGGGGATGTTGATTCATCAATATGATGTCGACACTGCTTTTCTGTATGGCGTTTTGGAAGAAGAGGTATACGTATACCCTCCTCTGGGTGTTCGTGCAGAACATAATCAAGTGTTTAAGCTGAATCGCAGTCTGTATGGGCTGAAACAAGCGGCCGCTACATGGTACAAGACAATTTCGTGTGTGTTTGTGGAGATGGGGTTCTCTTCATGCGTGGCAGACTCATGCATTTTCGTCAAAGAGACCAAGGGCTCGTGGATTTACGCTGCATTATATGTGGACGACCTTCTAATTGGGGCTGAATCTACTGGAGTGATGGAAGATGTGGCAGCTCAACTATCAAGTCGTTTCCAGTTGAAGATACTAGGGGGTGTTCGATACGTTCTTGGAATCGAAGTCAAGTACCTGCGCAACAATCGACGTCTGAAGATCAGTCAAGGATCGTGTATATCAAGAATGGTCGAGAAATTTAATCAAGTTGATGCGAAAGCAGTGTCAAATCCAAGTGTTGAAGGGCAAGCGATGGTCAAGATGGACAAAGCTGACACAAGAATGGAGAATCGACCGTATCGATCGTTAGTGGGGTCGTTGTTGTATGTGGCAACAGGCACACGACCAGATATTGCGTATACAGTATGTCAGCTGAGTCGTCATTTGGAATTTCCACATGAAGAGCACTGGAATGCAGCGATTCGAGTGTTGCGATATCTGAAGACGACGCAGAGCAAAGGAATTTGTTATGAAGGAGTTTCAGGCAATCTTCAGCTGAGCGCGTACACCGATGCAGACTGGGCAAGTAACAAGTGGAATCGCAGATCGATTTCGGGAGTTTTTGTCATGATTAATGGCGCACCTGTGATTTTCAAGTCGAAGATGCAGCAGAGCGTGGCACTGAGCACGGCAGAAGCAGAGTATATGGCTCTTTCTTTATGTGTGCAGGAGGTTCTGTGGACAAGAAGTCTACTCAAGGAGATGCAAGTGCAGATTAACTATGCTGTCAAGATTCACGAAGACAACCAGAGTGCAATCGCTATCGCTAAGAACGACGGCTATCAAAGTCGAGCGAAACATATCGACATCAGATACCATTTTGTGCGCGAACAGGTGAAAGACAAGATTATCGACCTGCAGTATACTGAAACCAAGTCACAGCTGGCAGATTTTCTGACCAAACCGATTTCGACAAAGAAGTTCGAGTCGCTGCTGGACAAGGCCAGGATCAGAGACTTCTAGTCGAGGGGGAGTATTGGTAATGGTGTTGGTTACTGATACTAATGACCATATGTCATGGACGACACTGTGTGATAGTGTGTAACGATGGGATCGACTCATCGTTTTGTTACTAATATTATAGAGTCGATATCGATAGGCTTAGAGTAGTACAACGAGACGAACTAAGGACCTAGCTAGATGATAATTCACTTTCCATTTTACCTTCTTCTAAGCTCTCCCACCTCAACTCGCTCTTGGCAGTTGCCAAAAGTCAAAAGATCAAGACGGCTCGCAAGCCACGTGTCTTTCAGATCAAAATGGGAACTGATTTTATTTTTGTTAAAGCCTATAGAATATCTTAATCCTACTCAAAGATCTTTCGTATCTAATGGCTGACACTCGTCAGCCCCTACAAACCGATAAGATATTCTATATCACCTTCACAGAAGCGAACCCTCAGGTGTGTAACACCTCTGGTACAAAGTACCATGATTTCGTGCAACCCCGTTACAACTAACTCATTTGCAACAAGCTCCATACAACGGTACGGCGTTGTATGTAATACTGAGTACCCAGTAGCTTCCAGTAGCTTCAACTTGCTTTGCTTTCTCACATTCTACCCTTTAAATTGCAGAACGTCTTTGATCACACGACAGACTTGAAAAGATTACTATCGTAAAAATGGAGGGAAAAGCATCACCAAGTACCACGTCTGACGAGAGTTCAGCTCAGATGGAGCTAAATGAAGAGGTCCCGGCTCAAATAGATCCAAAAGTGGAGGCCCCGTCTCAAGCAAAGCACCAGGGGAAGACTCCGCTTCACTTTGACGACGAGGCTGGTCTTTTCAAGACCGTATGTCGTACGCTCATGCGTAAGAAGAAGTGCACGCGTGTGGGCTGTACCTATGTCCATGACAAAATGCTGTGTCAGTTCTTCTGGAAAAGGGGCGAGTGCAAGTTCGGGAGTAAGTGCCGCAAAAACTACTGTGTGACACAGTTCGACCCAAGTGCTGGAGGGAAGGGAGAAAGCGCTGGGTCAATCGCCTCGAGTGGAGCAGAACAAGGCAAGAAGAATCTGAAGAAGAAGAAGAAGAATCGTAACGACAAGCAGTCCAAGGGCGATCAGGTAAACGATCACGAGTCGACCATCAGCACGCCGAAAGAAGAGGATGCTAGCAATTCTGACAAGCAGGACAAGGAAAACGACACGAAGTCCAAGAAAAAGAAGAAACGCGACAAGCGTCAGCCTAGCAAGAAAAACACCGAGAGCTTTGAACCGATGACCAAGCCTGTCGATCTCCGCATTACCTTTGATCTTGGTTCAAAGGATACTCAGTTCTCCACGCCTCTGACGTCGCGTGACGTCGTGCTCGTGCCCAACCTCTTCAGCGACTACAGAAAAGGTGAGCTGTACACCAAGCTCCTGCACGAGTTGGACCATTGTGGCATTCCGCGAGAGCAGCTGCTAAAGATGTGGCATGGCAACGACAAGATTGACGGCACGCACCTCATTGTAGACGACCGGTCGAGCTGGAAAGCCAAGTGTCCGACGTTCGACCTCGTCACGGATAGACTGAAAAAGTTCTTCAATCTCGACATCAAAGCCACTCGCTTCAACTGGTACAAGGATACTTCGCAGTGGAAGCCATTCCACTTTGATGCTGCGGCTGTGAAGCCCCACCTCGCCGGCGTTCAAAACTTTACAGTTGGCATCTCATTTGGAGCGACCCGTGACGCTGCTTTCGAGCATGCGAAGACTAAGACTGTCGTGAGTGTCCCGCAGCCGGATGGATGCGTCTACGCCTTTTCGAAAGACACAAACGTAATTTGGCGCCATGGCATTCTCCAAGATGTGCCGGTACGAGAGGAAGGTCGTATCTCGGTCATTGCGTGGGATGGGTGAAAACCATGACGGATGTTGCATCTCCTGAAGCGAAAACGTCGTCGTCGGCAGCAACTCATGTCACGATGCCGGCCTCGTCGCTGTTGAGACAGGATCAGAGTAGACAACCTCGTTGCAGTGATACTCGTCCATTGTGCATTGAAGTCACCCGGACTACATCCTAAACTGATGAAACGAACTGAGCATCAATCGGTCTTCAATCAGTCGGAAGTACACACAGAAACGCATTTGTTGCGCGAAAATAGCTGAAAGCCAGATCGCCGTTTACTTCTGCCGTAGCAATTCTCGTTGAGTCTCAATGCAGCTAGCATCCCGGGTGTCAGAGCAAGACAGAGGAAGGAGGTGCGCTGGCTGACCAAACTTCAATCAAGCTCGTACCAGCTACAAGCTGATGGAGATTTTCGGACGGGGTCCAGTGGTCGAGGTCGTGACGGTCGCTCCGTTGAGCTCGGCACTGATCTCCTTGCTCTGCTGCTGTAGCTGTACCTTCTTTTCAACCTTTTGCTTCTCCTGTCTCGACAAGGCCCCACGCTCTGCTCCTTCTAGCTTCGCAATCTCCTTGAGCTGCTGATTGATCCTTGTCAGCTGTCGCTTCAGTTGCTGGTGGTCGTCTCCAGCAGAAGGACCTGACGTCTCAACTGGTGGCGTCACTCCTCCTTTCTCCTTTGTCAGCTGCTCCTGACTTTGTCCTCTCTCTTTGTAGAGTCTTTTGTCACTACTACGAGGTCGCAGTACTACTGCTTCCTCTCGCTTCTCCATCAGTGACAATGTATCCATCGAGAGCTCATCAACAGTCGCATCCACAGCTGCTTTCGCCTCTTGTTCACGTCGCTATCATTTCGACCATCGTCAACAACACAAAAGACCAAAATAAGTAAAAATTGTGACAGCTTTTGTCCGTTACAAATTCGTTCCAAAAGCCACAAACATTACAGCACACGCACACGCTGCCCGACGGGCTTGTATTTAGGAACTTCCTCCTGCGGCACGTAGCCCTTTCGAATGCGGATAGGTTTGCGTAGTGACCCGTCTGCTCGACGGGACGCTGGCACCACCACCTCCCCATCCGCGCTACGTATAGCGCCAGTCGGTAGTAGTTCATTTGCATCCGCCACGTTCATACTTGCGTGACAGTGAGAAGCAGAATACAAACGAGACCATCACTCTGTGCAAACCATCATTCCGTACAAGATCGTTTCGTGCGTGGTCATAAGTCAGTACAACTTCATCACATTCAGTGCACAATTCTGATTTTTATTTAGAAAGTACTGACTTAATGAGATTATTTTATAAAATGGCAAAGTTGCGACCGTCCATGACAACGTGCACTTCGCTGGGGCGCGACGGCCACGTCGTTGCGTGCATTGACGTCCCGTCGCTGTCCTTTGCACCTGCTCGCCACTCGATACTGTACGCAAGAACGGCCCCAACGAGACCTGCAACGCCCACCACGAGGCACGAGTAGAAGAGCAGGTTGGTCGCTGAAGAGGAACTGGACGTGGAGCCTCTCGGATCGACTTTTGTCTGCGCGCTGCTGGCAGACTGGTCGGCTACTGACGCTTTCCCTGTTGACACTGTCTCTTTGCTGGTGGGACTGGAGACGGAGGTCCGTGCGCCGCCATCTTCGACTTGGGTGGGAGAGCTCGAGAGCTCGAGAAAGCTGCTTTTGACGGGCATCCGCTCGATGGAAGGATCCAGAGTCTTGCTCGAGTGATAGGGAATGTTATCATCGACTGTTGGTGCAGCTTCTTCAGGTTGACTGTTGGCGATCTTATAGACTGGGGAGGAAGGGAGCGGCGTGCTGGACGAGACAGAGGCTTGAGGTGCTGCCGTTGAGTTCAACTTGACGGTCCCCACAGTGCTAACGCCGGATTCGGAGCGTGAGCCAATCACGGTCTCGTTGCTGTCTTGAAATCGCGTGGCTACATTGGATGTAACATTGACTTCGTTGATGCTTGAGGATACCAACGTGGGCGACCGAGCTCTGGTGAGCTGGGGAGGCTCGGCGGCATCCGATGCGGTTCTGTTCGTGCTCGAGGTTGTAGTCGATGACTCGGGTTCGCTGCATCGAACGGCACTGCGAGCAGCCCCCACGTTCTTGGCATCATGGCCTTCGTAACTGCTTGTCGTGCTTTGCAATTCTCTTCCAGCATCGCGCACTAGGTCTTCCTCGGTCTGAATGGTCGAGACAAAGCCATGAGCGCGTGACGGCATGGTGATCTCTTGACACTCGAGGGCATGTGCTTGGGCTGCAAGCAAGAACAGCAGCACGATGATCGTAGACAGCGCCGACTTGTCCATTTAGCTGACAGTTGTAAAGTGAGCAAAGCGACGCCAAGCGTAGACACGCCACCCTTTGACGTCATATGTGTCAAAGCGACACAAGCAGCACGAAGAGTCCGGAAATTCAGTAAAGTCGGTTCACGATCGAGGCCGTAGAAATATCAGTAGCCTGGGTTTCAGAACGGCACCTTGCGTCGCATCTGCATTGCGAGTCTCGTCTTGCATGTGAACGAAGAGGTCGTTACAAAATCGCAATGTTGTGGCTATCACAAGTCGTTCGGGACAAAAGGGCCGGACGAGAGGTGGAAGTCGGGGTAACCGTTCCAGCAGACCTTTGAAACGCTCTCCGTTCGTTGCGGTCGCTCCGTTTCTGCTCGGCTCGATGCCCGGCAACAACTCCAATGAAGCCCACGATACCAAGTAAGATCGCTGCGTAGAAGAAGGGGCTTTTCGTCACGCTAGAAGTTGCCATGGACGTCTCGTCACTGTAAGGTGGCACTTGTTCCGAGGGCACTGTCGTCGGTGTTGGGAGCTGGTCCGTTGCCCGGAAAAAATCACTCGAAGACGAACCGGGTAAACTGTCCATAGCTGGTGTCACAGTCCCCACAAAGTAGCTGGAGTCCTCCTTTACTGTCCCAGATGAAGCCAACGTGCTGCTCGATTCACCTCTTGAAGACACTCGATCAAGTGTCGATGCAGCAAGTGGAAAGGTCCGCGGTAACGAAAGCGGTGGAGTCAAAGCGTCACCCGTCGATGAGGATGAGGAGGATGACTCGAACGAAGAAGCCGTCGAGCTCGACCCTCTTAGTAGATTGAGGATGTTGTTGCTGTCGCTAGTTCTATCACTTTTGCTGCCGCTGTCGTTATCCACACGCGATAGTTCAAACAGGGCATCGAGACTCCCCTCAGCATCCTCATCCTCACCAGGCGCAAAATAGTAGAGAACTCCATCTCGAATCGGTTCTTCTATCGCCTCTTTGGACGTTGGCGTCAAGTATGCTCGGGTATCAACAGCAGAACGCGTCGTTTCATCACCCACGTGCATATCGTTGCTGCCAACACTGCTGCCGCTCGTCGACTCACAATCGACATACCTCCAACGGACGGACATCCACTGGCTGTCCGGGACTGTTCCCAAATGCTGCTCGGCATCAGCACGAGGCAAAAGCAGTGCCCCGTGCTTGCAAGTAGCGCACGTGTCCGCCACTTGAATCACCTGTCGAGACGTGATCGGACAATACCCGACACTATCGCTGGCACACCATACTTCAGCACACTGGTGGACGCACGGCTCTTGGCCCATTTTGCAGCTCACGACAACGTAGACTGCTGTAACATCGGTCGTATCGAGTAGCAACGCTACTTGCTTGTGGGACTGTGGCAAGTCAACTTCAACATGGGCTCGCGTAGCGATACTACACAGGGCGATCGGTAGCAGAATTCTTTGCATCATTGAGCTCTTGTAACAATCAAAGGATGTCGTGACGCCCAAGCAAGCTGATGGCCGCTAGTCCCGCAATGAAAAGGGCTGCGACAATCTTCCGCCTGCCGTGGCGAGCTATCGCCACGACAGCTACTGGTCCTAGTACGAGGGAGGAGGGTATTAATACTGTCCCGACGTCCAAGAATTCCGGAAGTGGCTTCACTTTCGACGGATTGTTGAAGTGAGTCGTAACTGTAACAGAGGAGATATCATGTCAGTTGAAGAGCTGCTAAAAAGAAGGACGTACGAAACGTGCGACACGCAAAAAATACTCTCGATGGGACCAGTCAGGAGGGACAAGAGGGAGGTCGCAGACAAACAGCTGTCTCCAATGCTGTGAGTCTGTGTCCCCATCCACTGCCTCTTTTTTGTTTTGCGACAGCCACTTGACACGCAATAATCAGTCAGGGAGTCAGTCAGGCAGCCAGGCAGCCAGGCAGTCAAGCACAAGAGGGATCGATTGGGAGACTCAATCGGGGACGGACGGACATGAGTGAAGACGAGTTCGTCGTGCTGCTGGAGCACGCCGGGATCCTCGAGACGTCGGACGAGAACGATATGGAGTTCATGGAGGAGACGGTCCTGCGGGAGTGGCTGGAGCGGGACGGCGTGCAGCTCTTCACGACGCAAATGACGACCGTCAAACGCGAACAGAGCGACGCTGACCTCGTGGTGGACGGCACGGCGTCGACTGCAGCTCCGACGGCGACGGCGACGGCAGCGACGCTCGTGGGGGAAGCGAGGACGCGGATGGCTGGCCACATTCTGGCGAGACTGTTGGAAAGGGGATGGATCACGGCGATTGAATTCGATTATGACGAGGACGACGACGACGAGGAGGACGACGAGGAGGTGAGGAGGAGGACAGACACGTCTCGATGCTATTTATGTTGGAGCTGGGAAGGTGAGCTACTGGCTAACTGGTCGGTTGATTGTGTGTCTTGTCTGCAGGAGTGGAAGCCTAAATTGTTCACGCCACGATTACGGACGAACGAAGCGTACAAGATTTACATTGAGAAGGATATGATGGTACGGTTACTAGCGAGGAGATCGACTGCTATGGGGATGTTGTTGCTGGATGATTGAATGGTGTTGATTCATCTGATGGTGTTGCTGTCTGGGCGTGCTGCAGGCGACGCAGCTAGCTACACGAAGACTGCAGCTGCGTGCTCATGACCTCCACGATGCGGGCGTGTCGGTAGGACCCCTAGTTTCACTTTTTTAGCAAGCGTGTCGACGGTGTGACGTATTCCTTGCTAATGGCGTTTCCCGGTTGCTTATCTTGGTGTCATTTACAGGCTCATCAAGAAGAAGGCGAAATGCAAGCGTCGATACCTCTGACGGTAGGGTCCGGAGTACAGCCGGTGTTTGTCGCGTCAAAAGCGTAAGTTGTTATTGTTGTGCGTGCGCCTTCACTGCAGGTGGCGGACAACGATCAAAAGACTCGACTGCGGGAGAAGATGTGGCAAGACTGCTTCCCGACGTGCTCCGACAGCGCCAAGCAGACGTTCTTGTCGTTCACTCGGCCAGAGATTATCTTATATGCCACCTTGGGGCTCAATCTGATCAGCAACGGGATCAGCAGTGTGCCTGCGTTCTCGCGCGAGTTGAAGAGTATGGGTGTAAGCAGTGCGGACGATCGGTCTATCATCGTGGGGTTCCTGGCCAAAGCATTCCCGACCGAGTAGGGCAGACGGCAACACTTTGTAGCAATGCGATGTCTATTTTGTCATGACTGGTCCACAACGCCGCTGTTCGCACACACACACAAGTTGAGAAAGTGTGTCGACTTTCATTACAACGCCAGCGAAGGGTAGATCCACGTGTGCCACCGCGTTGCTGTCGGTGCTGCTCGTACTTTGACGAAGGTGACATCGAGTGTGCACTTACGCGGCAATATTTACGAGTAGTAGATACCGAGCGCGAATCCACTGGAGAAGCCCACGGATGATGGCAGCTTGGTCTTCAAGATCGCCAGAAGTCTCTGGTACCACAGCTTGACATCTGCAGCATCGATCTTGCCGTCTCCGTTCGGATCGACCCTGCCGATCGCGTCCTTCTGCAGCTTTCCCCACTTGATGTCAATGTAGCCATTGTAGGCCGCCACCTGGCCTATGATGAACACGAGACCCACAGCCAGTGCCGCGGCTTTGCCCACCAACTTGAAGGCGTAGCCCGAACAGAAGCCGAGACTGCCAGCCAGCGTGAGCTCACCGCAGTTGCCCAAAGCCGCGTCGATCCTCTTGTCCATCGGGTCTTTGTCTTCGTTCTTCTTTGGAGCGTCATCGCCGCCTGAAGGTTCTTTCTGTGTTGCAGTAAACACAAGGTCAAGTCACAAGTCCACATGCAATGCAGCATGTAGCCATCTACAAACACCCACCGCAGGCTGGCACAGAGCAGGATCCTTGAGTAGCAACAGCACCGAAGCGCTTGTGACGGCACCGGCCACAATAGCGTGTGACGCTCGAGGCAGAGATCGTGCTGGAGGATGCAGCGCAAGCGACTGCGAGCGACTCTGGAGCTTCTTGTTCATTGAGACGACGCGGGCGTCGAGCTTGAGAGCCTGCGGTCGGATGCAAACTGCATAGAGAAGTGCGCGTGAGAGAAGCAAGCACAGGATAGCGAGGGAGAGGTGGAGAGAGACAGAGAGGGCTACGCACAGAGCTGTGAGCGCAAGTGGATGGACATGATGACGCGCAGGATGAAGTGATGACGGTAAATGAGCAGTTTAGTGTGGTGCACCTAACAGTGTCCACACTCGACTCGGTGATGTCCTTAGCACTCCTGACGACGTTCTTGTTCCAAGTAGACCACGATTGTCGCGTTGTTTACAATTCTGAACACAGTGGACTTGTTGAATGGACGGACAAGTGCGTCAAGGTGGTCGTGGTTTTGGGGCTTCCTGCATGTGTCACCTGCAAGTAATCGCAAAAAGGGAGCATCGTCATGTCACGTCAGCCATCAAGGGGCACTGCTGTATGCATGCATTGAGTTACTGGAGCACGAACCTTCAGGGTCACCAGCGACTACTGAAACCAGCCACAATCAGCTCTCGGGTCCTCCAGCGCTTACCTCCTGACTCAAGTTTACTAGAGATCTTGCAAACGGTCAACCCCGTGTAAAGAGACCATCCGAACCAGCCAAGGTGGTCTTGACTACAGATCATGAAGAAGAGAAGGTCTGCAGGACCATCAATGATATGTTTGAGTGCGCCCGGCACGTTTTAGAGTCGGGCGTGAGCAAGGTGACCCGCTGGGACCTACAACTATTAAACCACTTCCAATGGGCTCTCCATTCGATTGTGCTGACTATTGTAGGTAACAGCACTTGGCTCGCTTTATCGCCAGGAAAATCAAGTCAAAGACAACGGTATCGAGCTTTAGCGACAGCTGATATCGCAGCGTGTCGATCGGCTCAGCCACAAATGCTTTTTCCACATCACACTCGTTGATCGTTATGTCGTGGTAATGAGATTCCTCGACACACTTTCGACACTTGGACGTTCTAATTGCCGCGGTAACCATCGCCATACCCTCGGTTACTGCGGACATTTTTCATGACCACGACGGCTGATGCTTGCCTTGCGATTACCATCCGTAACCTCGCTTCAACTCTGCCACTTGGTCTTTTCCTGACGATAAAAGCATCGCACAATGTCGAAGAGACGGTCAAGCATTCGAGTCGAGTTCTGCTTCACGTTGGTTCCGACTAAACTCGCGCCGTTTGTCGTGTGTGGTGGGGCTCTACTCTCTATTTTCTAATAGCCAGCACCAATTCAATACAGTCTGCAAGATGATCAACCTATCCAAATTCACAATTGCCGCTTCGAGTCCTCGCAATTACATTGTGTCACTCTGTCCGAACCCAAGTATTGCAATACACCCTCGAACTTTCACGAAAAGTGTCACGAATAATAATCTACCACACCTTGTCTAATCAACGGCCTTTTGCAGCTATTATTTACGTAAAGCTCCACCAGCCAGCGCCCAACTCGACCATTCAGCAAAAGTCCACGCCACTCCGTCTGCCGACATCACACCACCATGCCGTGCTTCCTGACCGAGTGCGACCCCTTTGCAGAGGCCAAGCGCTTCGGCCTGGCGCTGGGTGGCCTCTACGTGTACCACTACGTTGTCGACACGGTGTTCATCCGCCCTGCAGTCCGGTACATGCTTGTCAAGGGCTGGTTGACGAAGGACAAGGAGGACAAGATGCGCGAGTCGCTGTATAAGAACGCGGCAGTTGGCGCCTTCCACCTCTTCGGTCTCTACATCGGATGGCACGAGACGTGGTTCCTCAACAAAGAGGAGTACTTCAAGGAATTCCCCAATGCCACGAGTGAAGCGCAGCGGTGGTACTACATGATCTATCTGAGCTTCTGGCTCCAGAGCATCGACTTTATGCTGAACCTGACGAACACACACTACACAGTCAAGCGCAAGGACAATGCCGAGATGATCGTGCACCACGTGTCGACCATCTCGCTCATGCTCTTTTCCTACTGCGTCGACCTCACGAAGATCGGCCACTGCGTGCTCATGATCCATGACGTCAACGATCTGTTACTCGAGACTGGTGCGTGCACTGCTGTTTTCTGCAAGGAACGGATGAACTAGTGGCAGTCTTTACACTGAGACTCTCTTGTTGTGGCTATGTGTTTGTTACCAGCCAAGGTGTTTGTGTACCTGCAGTGGGAGACCGTCGCCAACATCTTCTTTGGACTCTTTGCACTCGTGTGGTTCCTCCTGCGCTGGTTCTTCTACTCGTACAACATTCTGCACAGTGCGTATGCATTCGCGTACCGGGACATTGTGGCGTCGATCATGGAGGTCGGCAGCTATCGCGGCATTGACGCCTCCGTGTGGTACGCGACGTGGGTTGTCTGGTTTGGCTTTTTGTGCCTGCTGCTCGCGCTACACGTCTACTGGGGTGTCCTGATCGTCAAGATGGTGATCAAGGCGCTGGATGACGGCAACGTCGAGAAGGACATTCGCAGCGACTCGGAAGACGAGCAGGTCGAGGAGAAAGAGGACAAGCAGTTGCAAGGAGAGTCCGCCATTAGCACCCCTCGACGCCGTCGTGCTCCCAAGGCGGAGTGATTGCGTCCAGTTGAGGTTTCGTCGACGAGGAAGTCAATGGGATCATATGGTGCTGGAGAGACGGTTGGCATAGTCCGGCAGAGAGTGCCCGTGATGGTTTTGTAGATAACAAGAGAACGGGCGAGGAGTCAGTAGAGATTAGAGTCGAAGCGGGACGAGAAAGCGTTGTCTCTTGTCCTCCGTGATGTTTTCCTGATTACGAAATCACACCAACCTGCCCAATGGACTTCCAGATTAAGAATTTGTGACGGTTCAGAAACATGCTCATCATTTCACATTATGAGCGCCGCTGTCGTCTCGAGCCATTTCGTGGCTGAAAAAGTCAAGGCGCTGTGTGTGCTAAGTGACGTACGCTACACATCGTCCGAGACGTCCCTGAGCAAGTATGAGGCCCTTCCTGTAGTAGCGTCCGGCGGCTGGGACAACGAGGTGCGACTTGAGCGTCATTGCGGGTTTCATCCGGATAACAAAGACGAATGATGCGAGGATAATCCGGATAAAAGGGACGAATGATGATGGGATACGCGTGTAAATGACGTTCTGTAGACCAATCACATCACGCTGCACGCGCCTGTGCGTCAGTCACTGGACGAGCGGGAGCTGGACAAAGAGTACGGGTCCGTTTTTGGTAGCTGGATTGACTTGTAGCCATTGCATTGGCAGGTGCAGTCTCACACATCACGTGTCTCTCTCTCTCTTTCTTTTCTTTTTTTCTATTGCTAGACGAAGATCGAGCGATGTACAGGCGTGCGAGTTGAAGACTGTGGCTGAGACGGAGCACGAGGGAGACGTGAACGCGTTACAGTTTGTGGCCACTCGAGACAAGAAGTTGCTGGTCAGCGCATCGTCCATGGGCGGCATCTTTGCTTATTGTGTGTCGTCCAGCACTGCAGGTGATGATTCTGTCATGACGGATGAAGAGGCGGACAAGCCGTTGGACGTGCAGGTGATACCGCAGTGGGAACGAGTGTTTGCTGGCACTGCAGCGACGTGCGTCGAGGTCAGTGAAGCTCGCACGAGTCTCGTGACTGCCAGTGCTGATGGAGCTCTGGCGTGGCTGAAGCTGGACGACGTTGCGAGCGTCGTCCAAATCGGTGAGGAATATGGGCGGAGGACGTGCACACGGCATACGTCGTGTAGGAGCTTGTGGAAAATGCTGATGTTAACGTTTGATGCAGAGAACAATGACGTGAGTAGACTCCCGATCAATGCAGTGAAGTTTCTCGGTCGCGACTCGGTCGTTGCTTCTGTCGGGTAGGACCGCGTGAAGACATTAATTTGTTGCACGTCGCTAGCTATATATTGATCGATTCTCTTGCCTTAACAGCTCAACTCCAGCCAACCAGCTACGGATTTGGGACCTCGCAGCAAACAACCAGTTCCCTGTCGCAACCTCTGCCGAGTACGTGCGTCTGCATGTACGGCTATTCGTATTGCACACGAGTTCTCTGATGCTTTCTTTTGCTTTGAACAATACAGTTCTCGTTCACAAGCCTTCTTGACTACGCTCGAGACCCACCCAACGCGGCCCGAGCTACTTATCACAGGAGCTGCTGACGGTTCTGTTAGCTTGTGGGATCGCCGTAAACTTGCTGCACCGTTCCGGACTGATACACACCACCATCGTGCCGTACGAGCGCTGAAGATCCACTCTGCGTGTCCTCGGTACCTTTACACGGGTAGTGACGACAGCGTGGTGAACCGCTGGGACTTTCACCATGGTCGCAATCGCTGCGATCCAGTCGAATACGAGCGATACAGCGGATCTGCTAGCAGCCAGAGCCAGAGTGCGACCCCGTTCTGCTCTCTTGCCACTTCACTCAACGAATGTTTCGAGGGACCGAGGCGCCTCCACGTCGAGCAGCTCACTTCTGGGTCCCAGCCATGGAACGCTTTGGCGATTCACGCTGAGTCGGATGTGCTTGTTGCAGGCTCGGACGCACAGGTCATAGCGATTGTGCAGAACGTGTCACAGTGGAAGCAGTAGTCATGATGACGAAATGCACACCTGAACGCAGTCAGTCGATCTCGCGATGCTAGAGACGGTTTGGTGTTACGCTAGTCGATCAAACGCAAGCTTTTAACAGTTAGAACTGCAAGGTCAATGGACCTAACGGACACGATCGTGACTAGCACCAGTTCGCTCCAATGTCCGTGTCCATCTGCAAATGAGCAGATAATACAAACAAGGGATGCACTTTGCCACTATCTCGCAACCAAGGCCTCAAGCATGCGTAAAGCGTGTAGATATGGGTTGATGCAAGTGATCGACTCAAGACACACACACAAGAGTCAAATGCACCCGTCGCTCGATCATATGAAAGATGTTGACCAGGAGCTTGTGAGCTGTGTAATTGCAGCTTTTTCTCAACGATGTCGAGCCGACAATCATCGGAATGTTGATGTCCGGATTGGCGCAAGGCAAGATTCGGCTTTTGTTTACGGACAGCTCACAGCTGCGTCTCCGGTCGTGCTGTCTGCTCTGACTGCCGACGCTCGGTATGCTCAGAGCGAATGAATCAAGATTGGCAGTGCGAATCTCTTGCCTCAGACTGATCGCTTCCCGACTCTGTCATGTATTTCAGTCAGAGCATGATGTCCACCGTCTTCCCTTTCCAGATCCCACAGCCTACGGCTCATGCAGCCAATACATGTTCCCACTCCTCCCGCTCCATTACAGGCCTCGATAAACAGTCGACCGAACTCGCTCGTATGCGAACAATTATCAGACCTTGAGTGGTCAGTCTCATACGCTAATCCTGTCGACAGCATCGGCTCAGAACTTCCGATATCATCATCGTAAACTCCTCGATGCCTACGTGACGATGCAAGGTCGTGGTCCCTTTAATGGGTACATTTGCTGTACGAAAGCGGCATCGATCGTCATTTTACTCCGTGGCAGACATTCCCACGTGCAACAAATGACGAGATCGCGGTAACTGAATGCAGACGTTTTGATAGCGACTCTAGTAGTAATCGATTAGCGCAGTGTGCCCAATAATGACGCACTCACTCGAGGTGGTATCGAGGCCTCTTTGCCCTTGTGATTGGACTACCACAGGTCCAGCAACTGATCGAGTGGGGGCGCTCCTGTCGCTTGGCTTTGCAACGTTTGACGCGCAGACGGTCGAGCGAAAAGGTTGAAGTCGAGCGACTTGTTGGAGTGGAATGGGTGCATTGTCGTGAGCAGAGAGTGGTATAGGACACAACCTGGACGGCTGTCGAAGGTTCTACAGCATAGCGAGCGCAAGAGAGACTCACTTCATGGGTACCCTCAGCAGCCCTGATAGTGACGCTTCAAGATCGTGGTCCGGGCCAAGCACGAGCGACCTTCAGACGACACGACTTTCGTCAGTGATCGTGGTTGAAGATAGGCTCGCTGGCTGGGACTGGACTGTTGCAGTGCCCACCCCAACGACGACGAAATGACTACCGCACGATAGCAGTTGCGCCGTCGGAGGCAATCGCTCCATGTGTTGTCCGATGGCGCAGATTTGTAGTCCAGGGGTAGTAAGTAATATATTCTTATGGCACGCAGCGACTGGACTCTGAAAAGACAAATCTCGTGAGAGCTAATAACGTCAGAGACGAAATAGCAGCACTTTGACTACGTCCGTCAACCTGCTCGTACCGATTCCCTGCACAACTCCATATTTCTCCAGACTCGCCGGTCCTCGCGACTGTTCCCAGCCGCGCCGCCTTCCTGTGCAGCAGCAACAGCAATCGCAAGTCCATCCCGTTCTCGAGTCAGTCTCGTCATTCTGACTTTTGCCCACTCCCCAGCACGTCGCTGGTGTCGCTTTTTTTCCCGGCGTCTTCTCTCCTCTCTCCGCTCCCATGGCGAGTCGCTACGCGCGCAAGAGCACGAGCCTCCGAGCCGCCAAGCGCTGGCTCGTGGACGAACTCGAGACCATGGAAGCCCTCGCTGCCCCCCGCCGCGTGCACGCGATCGACACGGTCGCCAGCAAGCAGAAGCTCCGCGCCCTGGGCGAGTTCTTCCCGTTAGTAGCCGTCGACGTGCGTCGTGACGTGCTCGTGGCCGCCAATTACCGCGAAGACGTGGCCGCGGCCATGCTGGGCGACTTGACGCTCGGGTCTGTCGCTTCTGCCTCTGCACAGCCGTCGAGCCCGACGCCGGAGCTGCTGTTCGTGGACCTCCACGCCGACGAGGACGCGGTCTCGGAGCTAGCAGACGAGGAGGACTGGAGCGAAGTGGCGGCGGCCAGCAACGGCACCGACGCGTGGGTCGTGATCCAGGACGACTGGGAGGTCGTGGACAAGCACGGGGACACGGTGCGCACGTTCGCAGACGTCTTGCTCACGGATTCTTCCGTCGTCACGACGACGCGGGCGGCGAATGCGAAGCCGCGCGCGGCGCTGCTGTCGATGGTCAAGCACGCGCGTGTCGCAGAGAAGGACGGGAGTGACTTGGCACTTCCCGTGTACGAGCTGGAGCGCGGTGCCAAGTCGTTTGGGGCACGGAAGCGCCGCTTGATCAAGCACCGTCGATAAGCGCTGACCCGGCAGGCAGTCGATCGATCAGTCGATTGGTCGATTGGTCGACGATGCTCGACAGTGTTCAAGGGGTGACATGGACGTGACGTATCTTTATCTTATCATTATCAGATGACGACGAGCGCAGAAGGTGACGGTCGGGAGCGACTTGCGCGACGCTCGACTGCACAAGCGGCAGTCTGGAGCTTCTCCTCCTACCCGCGCACGAGCTCAGGCGATGCCGGTGGCCTCCACAGTCGTCGCCATCTCCGTCGAAGCAGTCAGTACCATAAAAATTGCCACAAGTAACGAACTATTTCACCCGAGACTAGAAACTTGAGCGTAGAAAGCGGTAGTCACTCGTCCTTTGCGAGGCATTGAACGACGACGCGGCGAAGTGCACGCGAACGACGCCGCAACAAACGCGGTTTTGGCTTTTTCCATGCAACCGCATGCCATGGTCCCACGTGCAGATTATCACAAGTTATGTAAATCCACAGGTTCACTCCGACATCAACGCTGCTTCTCAAGTATAAACTGTGACAAGATACAACTTCTCAGCAGTCCCGCTCTTGCCATCGTATACCCCTTCCACCTCCAGCATCCGATACTGACTCACTCACTCACTCACTTCCTCTCCAGCGCAACCTTCACTCCCTCCACTTCTGACTCACTATACACATGTTCAAAGTATACACCGAGCGCGCGGAGCTGCTGCTCGAGGACTGTCGCGCCGGCGCCGGTCCGTGGCTCCGCGTGACTCCCACGGCGTCGTCCACCGGCGTGGACATCGAGTCCCTCAGCGCCAGCGCCGTGCAGCCCAGCGACGACGCGGCCTCCATCGCAATCCACGCGGTATACGGCGTGTATACGCTCCTGAGCGGTCCGTTCCTGGCCGTCGTCACGGACTCGCGCGTAGTCGGCTCGGGCCCCCGCAGCGAGAAGATCTTCTGCATCCTCGAGCTCACGCTCGTGCCCGTGAGCGCCGCCGCGTACCAGAGTTTCTTCAAGCACGCGAGCGCCCGGGAGCGCCAGGACGAGCGCGCCTATTGCCGCATGCTCACGACGGCGCTGGCGTCCCGGACGTTCTACTTCAGCTACGACCTCGACCTAACCCTATCGGCGCAGAAGCGCGCGTCACTTGCGCTGTCGTCCTCGTCGGCGCCGCTCTATGCGCGGGCAGAAGCGGACTTTTTCTGGAACCAACCCGTGCTGAGCAAGTGGATCGACTTGGAGCTCAGCGCGTGGATCGTGCCCGTGATCTCGGGCTTTGTCAAAGTGCTCAAGAAGTGCGACGTGAACGGCCAGCGCTGCGACATTTTGCTCGTGACTCGACGCAGCTGGCGACGCGTGGGCACGCGGTTCAATGTGCGCGGCGTGGACAAAGACGGGAGCGTGGCCAACTTTGCCGAGACGGAGATGCTGCTGGTCAAGCCGTCGCGGGCCGTGTGCTCGTACGTGCAAGTGCGGGGGAGCATCCCGCTCTATTGGGACCAGATGGTCACGCTGAAGTACATGCCACGCACGCGGTACGCGTTTTCCGGCCACGAGAGCGTCGTGGACTGGAACGAACTGGCGTTCCGAGCGCATATGGACAAGCTCATCCAGCGATACGGTCACATTACGTGCGTGAACCTCATTGACAAGGCGGGCAAGAGCGCGACGGTGCGGGATCAAGCGCAACTTGGCTCGGCGTTTGGCAAATACGTTAAGAAGTACAACCAACTGTCGAGATCGGGGGAGGGAACGGGTGCCGTTGCATCGGCCATGCTGTTGCCAGCTTCTCCGACGTCGCGTGCCATGTCACCTCGGCAGCGCAGGAGCATGTCAGTGGCCTTACCTGGTGCGTATGGACCCAATGGAAGCAATGGACTCGGACTAGCTAACGGCGGCGGACCTGCCGTCGAATGTCCAGTCAGTAGTGGGTTCACGGCCAATAGTGACAAGAAGGGCGGATCTTCTGGTGCGTTGACGCTGCTGGCATCCGCGTCGCTTCCGATGAAAGAGAACCCGCTGCCACAAACAGCGGTGCCGTCCGCACCGACGTCGGTGTCGCAGCTCTTTGCCGAGCCGATTGCGTACGTGTGGTTTGACTTCCACCACGAGTGTCGCAAGATGGCCTGGCACAACCTGGCCAAGCTCATGGCCGAGGTGGAGGAGCAGTTCATGCAGTACGGATGGTTCGAGTGTGATAGCGAAGGGCGTGTACTGTCGCGCCAGCGTGGTGTCTTCCGTGTAAACTGCATGGACAACTTGGACCGCACGAACGTTGTGATGAGTCTCTTTGCGCGGCGTACGGTGCTCATGGCGTTACAGCTCTACCCGCCCAGCGTCGTTGGTGGTGACGGAGGCGACAGCGTACTGGACTCACCTTACAAGAGCTTCGAGGTCGTGTTCAAGAATGCATGGGCCGACAATGCAGACTATGTGAGTAAAATGTACGCAGGAACTGGCGCGCTCAAGACGGACTTTACGCGTACGGGACGAAGAACGATTGCAGGTGCTTTGCAAGACGGTGCGAACTCAGTCACGCGGTATTACCTCAACAACTACTCGGATGGCATTCGCCAGGACTCGTTCGATTTACTGGTTGGGAACTTCACACCGGACAAGCGGGACGAGTCGCCGTTCACTTTCCAGCAACAGCACAGTCTTCTGAATATGACGATGGAGGCAGCGCTCGCCATGCTCGCAGTCGTTAGCGTATCACTCAGTATGCGCACGGAATTGCCGGTGGTGACTCGCGTGCGTGACGGTGTGATTGCAGCATTGGCACTCTTTACCGTGACGGGATACCTTATCATCAAAAAGGGCATGTTCCGCTCGATTGGAAGGCGATACGTGTGCAAGCCAGCGTTTAGCTCCAGCGGCTACATTCGCCGGAAAACTGCTTAGAACATGTGACCGGCAGCTGTTTGGCAAGCTGGCAAGCTGAAAAAGGCGGTACGAATGAGTACACAAGACAACAAATTATCTGGACGATTTCTAGAAGGGCTGTGCGCTGGAGAGCAAGGGTGCCATCAGGCACCTCTATGTACCTGGAAGGCTGCTTGTTCAGGATGAGGTCACTCACGTTTTGGGCCCATTGACCGCGCCTGTAACGCTCGCGCTCTTTTGAGATGGAGGTCTGTATGTTTTAGTTGCTCGACTCCGTTGTCCACAAGTTGTGCTTCGATCATCGCTTGAGGTATGGTTGTGCCTTCACATGTACTGCACCAATACCATTTACAGTCATTATTTCTCACTTCTTGAAGATGCGGTAGGAAAACCTCGCTGCCACTTTGATGCAGCAATACAAGAACCAAGTGGAAACACCAACCGCTCCTCTGTTCGCACCGAACCAGTCAGTGGTCGCACCTAACGTCCGCTCTAGCGCCACTTTCAAGGGACTGAACTTCATCATCCTACTGACTCGTACTTACCACCTTACAGCAAAAAACCCCATGCTCAAGGTCAGCGCCTCCGAGATGAAGTACATCGTCGAGGGCATCGCGGCTGACGTCCGCGCCGACGGCCGTGACCGTCTCTCCTACCGCAGTCTTTCACTCGAGACGTCGCTGCTGGCGCAGTCCAACGGCTCGGCCCGCGTCTCTCTCGAAGCTTCCGGTACCGACGTCTTGGCCTCCGTCAAGTTGGAAGTGACGTCCCCCGCCCCTGAAGCCCCGAGCGCTGGCGTCTTCCAAGTCGCGGTCTCCTGCTGTCCCTCCGTGTCTGCGAAACTCTATGGCCGCGCCGTCGAGGAGATGAACGTGGAGCTGTCGCAGCTCATGACGCGCCTCTTGTGCTCGCGCCCTCGCGCGGAGCTCGAGAAGTACTGCATCGTTCCAGGAGAGAGTGTGTGGGCCATTCACATTGACGTGATGGTCTTCGAGTCCAGCGGCAACTTGCCGGACGTCATTTCCATGGCCATTTACGCCGCTCTTAATGACACGGTGTTCCCCTCCGTGCGTCTCGTGGGCGTCGAGGGCGAGAACAAGGCGATTGAGGTGGAGACGGACCCTGCAGCTGGGAAGCTCATGAGGGCAGAACAGTGGCCCATTTGCGTGACACTGAGCAAGATTGGCGACTGTTTTGTCACGGATCCGCTGCAGGAGGAAGAGCTGTGCACGACGGCCCAGATGAGTGTCGCAGTGGATCCAGAGGGGAGTGTCTGCGGTGTCCAAAAGAGCGGCACGGGCTCCATTGAGATAGAAGAGATGCAACAGATGATTGACGAGGCGTGTGCACGATCGAAGGAGTTGTTCAAGCTGCTGCAAGAGGCTCTTTCCAAACAGCGAGATAGCGACGCTCGGGCTGGACGCAGGGTGGAACGTCTTGGGTTTCTGGGATAATGAATGACGCAAGGAAATAGAGTGCTGCTACGGCCACGCAACCGTGTTGATGTAGCTGTTTACTTTGCAATCCTGGGGCTTAGTCTTCCGTTACGGTCACACCGTTATCTTCGCTAGTAGACGCCATCTCGGACAAGAAATTCACAACGCGCAGCAGTCGACCCTGGTACTTCTCCAGCACTTCAATATTCAGTGGTCGATTCATGAAGCCCATCTGCTCGAGCTCGCTCAACTGGGCCTGCCACTTTATAGCTTGGTCTGTAGACTGCGTGACAGCTATAGCAGGCTCCATCGCATGAATAGCAGGAACCGTAGTGGAGTGCATGCTTGCATCTAGCCGTCTTTCCAAACTCTGCCGAGCTTCATCCCAAGCACGAGGTAGCTGTGTACATGCCCGAGCAGCTCGTGCTGACTCCAAGCGCATTTTATCTTCTGTATCACCCGGTTCGACCATGTCCGCATCCGCTGCTAGCTTCTCAACAAACAACGCTACTTGGCGGTCACTAAGGCCAAGCTCTTGCAGCGTCTTGTCAGCTGCATCTACTCCAAAGAGTTGACGTGGATATGTAGTCGCCAATTGAAATAGACGCGAATTCTCGCCCGTAAGCGCCTCAACAAACTCAAACACGCACCGCAACGGAGACGCGTGCAAAAAGCGCCGCGTTGCTGGGCCTTCAGGCGTCCTCAGCACCACCTTTGTCTGTGCACACGCTTCCGCAGACGGTTCCGGTACCAACGTCGCCATCTTGTTTGCTTTCCAAATCTCCTTCTCTTCCACTACGGCTGCAGCACGCGCCGCCTCTACCTCCAACCGCTTCTTTTCTTCTGCAGCCTTGACCACTGCTTCACACGGACTCAAGTCCACTTCCAGATCAGTATTTACGATGCGAACAGCGCGTTCAGGTTTCAACTTGGACACAATCACTTCGAACGTTTCTCGACCATGTCGAACAAACAGGACGTCGCCTTCCGTCAGCGTCGTGTGCGTCTGTAACGCACACTCCAGCAGGTGCTTCAAGTCAATCTGACGATCACCAAATCCGTCTCCTCTTGGCTGCAGACGTGCAAACTTGCCCTGTTCTAACCGCACAAAGCGCACGTGAATAGTCGCTGGTGGCTGCTCCTTCATCTGTCGAAACAACGACGCAGCGACCTTTGGTGGGAGCCCCACTGTTCCTTCTTCAGCCACAAACTCCAGCACTCCAGCATGCGTCCGTCTTTTCTTGACTGTACCCACTTCACTCAGCTCTGTACCCATCTCGGTAACCCACAGCTCGAACGTGAACACGCCAAGCTCCAGCGCGTTCTGCGGATTGAGCGCCTCCAGCGCCGACGCCGGCAGCGTGATCTTGTCTCCGTCTCCCATTGTAGGAAACGGCCGCAGCTCTTGCACGTACTTGATGCCGCCCGTGAGTCGCTGCTCCTCTAGCAGCTGTTCCGCCTGTCGCGCCGACTCGGCCAGACGCTCCACGCGCTTCTGTTGCTGCAGCGACTCCAGAGCTTCACGGGCCTTGGCTGCTGCCACGCGCTTCTGACGCTCCGCCTCGATCTTGCACTTGGCCTGCTCGCGTCGCTGCTTCAGCCCACGGTTCCACTTGGCGTTGCGCGAGTCCAGGTCCACTTCCATGCCACTCGTCTCGGGGTTGAGCTGTCGCGATTTCTCTCTCTCTGATAATTTCTATCGTAATTTCGCAGTCAGTAGAACAAAATTGCTGAATTGTTTTAACACATTTGAGTCGTATTGTTAATGTTCAGGCTGGTGGTCGATTCTCGAAAAACCTGATTCAGAGACGTGAAAAGTTACTTTAAAGGAGACGATACTCAGCGTCGCATGATGCTGTGGCTTCTACTGTTGTGTAAAATTACAATAACGATCTTCTTTCCTTGATTTTAGAAGGGCGTGGTTTGCTATATTCAAGTTACCATGCGTCATACTTCGCAAAAATCGATTTTGTACTGGAGTGTTGAGACGATGTTCCTACGAGTGTCGGATGCAGCCTCTCTGTAACGAATGATTTAGTTTTGCTGTATGTAGCTTATCCCTGCGGCGATCTGCTCGCTCATTCATCCATGCTGCACAGTTGCGAGTACTTTTTGTAACAAAAGCTCAACTACTTCTTTGTGCTGCAAAATGGAAAGTAGTATTAGGAGTTAAAACTACTGCTAAAATGAATATAAAAATCCCCTTATAAACTGACAAATTCAATCCAGATAGTTCGGAGACCAACGTCCATGCAAGTTGCCCTTTTCACGACACGCATATCACCGTCATAAGTCGTGACCTTCAACACTCCCCTTCAACTTGCACTCTCGCGAATTCCACTTTCATCGCGTAGTCGCTTTAATTGCGGTGCAGCAAGTGACTTTGTCAGGTAATCCGCAAGTTGCATAACTGACGGAACATGTTTCAGTTGAATCTCACCTTGCTCAATGTGATCTCGCACAAAATGCACCCTGAGGTCGATGTGTTTAGCTCTTGGTGTGTATCCTTGATTCGTCGCGATACCAATCGCTGACTTGTTGTCCATGTGAACCGTTGTCGCAGTCTTATACATCACACCCATCTCCTTCAGCAAATAACGAATCCACATCACTTCTTGCGTAGCTAGTGCCAATGCCATATATTCCGCTTCAGCAGAGGATAAAGCCACCGAATTTTGGCGTTTGCTTTTATAAACCACAACTGCACCTCCGAGCAGAATCAACACACCAGACGTAGATCGACGAGTCTTCTTATCGTTTCCCCAATTCGCATCACAGTATGCCCGAAGCATCATCTTATTTTCGTCTGATTTCTTGTACGCAACTCCACGCGATTGTGTTCCCATAAGGTAGTGCAAGACGCGTAGAGCCGCACGCCAGTGCATCTGTCGTGGCTGATCCAGGTACTGCGATAGCACTGACATCGCGTAACTTATGTCCGGTCGCGTTGCGTTCGCAATATACAGCAGCGAACCGACCAATTTGCGATACGAAGTGATGTCCTTCAGCACTGGGTGTGATTCATCCGGAGTTAAGTCCTAGCCTGCGCAGATAGAGTTGCGTACTGCGTAAGCTCCATTTTGATCAAACTTCGAGACCAACTTCAGAATAAATTGGGTCTGTTTTAGCGCCAATTCTCCCTTTTCTTTTGAGTAATTTACCTCCATGCCCAAAATAAATCGAGCAGCTCCAAGTGATTTCACAGTAAAATGCTCTGACAGTTCCTTAAATATCGTGTCCGCCTCGGCATCTGACTTGCATCCAATCAGGAGGTCGTCCACAAAGACTACTGTCCATGCAAGTTGCCCTTTTCACGACACGCACATCACCGTCATAAGTCGTGACCTTCAACACTTTTGCTGTCAATTAAAACGGCCAAGCTCGTAGTATTTGCTGTGTCACTGGTATAAACGGTTTGACTGGAGCTAGCAGCTACAAACAGTATCAAAACCGTAAAGCTGTTGCACATGCAATTGTTAGAATATGCCTAATGACACGAGGCACAAGTGTTGTGCGGGAAAGGAGTTTCGAGGTAGTGTGTCATCAGCTCGTTATGGAACGGGGTGAGCCTGGTACGAGTAATAGACCCTTGACACTCATTAATTAGAATATTATCATAAAGGTTGATAATGTCCGTAAATATTACCATAAGAGGTGATATTGTGAAACGCTCACCGATTGACTGATATAGGTCATTATATCAGCCAGCGCTAACGGTACGATCACTGATGGACGCGCGCAATGAGTAGTAAGTTTAACACTTAGATACTCGCTTGTCTTCTGCGGCACAAAGTGAAAAGTGAATTATTGTTTAGCTTTCTCTGTCGGTCTCACTTACTTGTTGTAGTACTGCAAACATGTATATATACTAGCTTCTAGAACTCCGTATCCAGAAGCTCACACAAATGCAACCTTGGTGTCTCGACCATCCGTGATAACGTTGTCGTCCGCCAGTTGAACCCGCATTGCCCCAACACGCATATTCCCAATCGACGTAGGACAATGCTGTACGCAACACCATCTTGTTACACTCCCCCTCAACTGGAACACGGAACAATGCTGCTGAGCTCGCGTAGCTGCGTAAAGCGCGGTGTCGGAATAGCCTTCGTCAATAAGCCCGCTAATTGGTCCTCGGAAGTACATACTCAAGACTTATGTTTCCACTCTCCACATGATCCCGCACTAAATGAGCCTGCAGATCAATGCGTTAAGCACGAGGCGTGTAACCTAGGTTCATCGCCATGCTCATTGCCGACTTGTTATCCATCATGACCTTTGTTGCACCAGATAACTGGAGTCCAAGCTCTTCGAGTAGATATCGAAGCCGAAGCACCTCTTGCGTGGCCAAGACCAGTGCCATATACTCAGCCTCTGCCGATGGTAGTGCCACTGAGGACTGACGCTTGCTTCGGTATACCAGTGAACCATCGCACAGAAAAATCAATACACCAGAAGTTGATTGACGAGTGAGCTACTCACCACCCCCAATTCGCGTCGCAGTACGCCTTCAATACCGCTCCATGGTTCGTAGATCTGGAGTATTGTATTCCATGGTCTTGTGTTTCTTATAAATGGCAGAATACTTCCTTTGCTGCACGCCAATGCATCGCACGCGGGCTGTCGAGATACTGCGACAGTATCGATAACGAAGAAACGATATCTGGCCGAGTTGCGTTAGCAACACAATAGGATCCAAAAATTAGCGGTACGGGGCCTTGTCGTTAAGGATGTCATGTGAATCATCTGGCTCGAGGTCTTGACCTAACACCATTAAAATTTCGCACTGCATGTGCTTCATCACAGCTAAACTTGGTCAACATATTATGAATGAATTGCTTTTGCCCCAAATGAAAATATCCCTGGTCGATGTTGTAATTAATCTCCATTCCTAACACATAGCGCGCGGCACCAAGCGACTTCACCGATAAATGGGCGCTTAACTCGCGACTGATATTATCAGCTTCGTCACCAGACTCGCATCTGACCAAAAGGTCGTCAACATACAGTACGATGTAAATCAGAGATCCTTCTGCAACTTGACCGGAACGACTTAAAAACACACACGGGTCAGCTCGACCTTAAATATAATTGAATCTGCAAAGACGGTACGAATAGTCTTGTATTAAACAGCCGCAGCTTGCTACAACCCATGAAAACTGCGTTGAAGCTCACAAATCATATCTTTTTCTGCGTGTACACCATGGAGGACTTTCATGTAGACCTCTTCTTCCAAAACACCATTCAGGAATGCTGTCTCGACATCAAATTATCGATTCTTGTAGATTTTTGCGCAACAGATTGCTATAAAAACTCTAATATACATAATACTGGCAGCAGGAGAGTTGGTATGGAAATAGTCTACCCCTTTGGTCTGTAAGAAATCTCGTGCAACCAATCGTGCTTTGTGACGTATGACATTTTCATGTTCATCGTACTTGCGAGTAAATACCCACTTGCATCCGATCACTTTCACACCACGTGGTTGTTTTAACAACTTCCAAGTGTGATTTTGCTTGTAAAACGAATCTTACTGCGAATCGCTTCTGTCCACTGAGAAGCGTTATGGTCTGTCGTTGCTTTTTCGTAGCTCTGCGGAACATCTCGTACAGCGAACGATACTTCGTATTCGATATCATCCAAACGTGGTCGCTTGTTGTGGTAATTATTCACGTATTGTTCATACCACCTAATAGGTATTGTGACCAGTTGTGTGTAAATCACGTCTTGTTTCTCTTGGCGCGTAACATCTTCCTGATACGGCCTCCGGAAACACCCCACCATCATTACTATGGGATTGCTATATGGCCGAGCGTCTGTGGCTATAATTTCTTCCCCCGTTTTCACGAATTTTCCAGTCTACGATCGGCAGGCCCCAAGTTTTGTTTCTGCTTCACTTGGACGTTCCGGTGCGTCGCCAAGATCTGTTTGGCTCGCTAACTCCGGTTCGACTCTTCAACATGGTCTGCATTGTTATTTTACGGACGCTTAAGCTCAATGGCAACAAGGCGATTTTCGACCCCCCTGCTCTACAATTTATGGGTGTCGTCCGTCAATGTCTGACCATGGTTCGTCTTCATCTTCAGCATTTCTTCATGACGATGAAGCACCCGCAATAGAAGGACATCATTCGACTCAAGGCTCAACTTCTTGCTTTCAGTGATGAATGGTATCGCGACTTTTCCGAAGATTCCTGCTATCTTCTTGCGGAATAACTTAAAGATTTTCAAGGATTTTCCCAGTCTTTTCCAGCTATTCAAGCTGCAGTTTTTCTTTGCGGAATAACTTCAAGATTTTCAGAGTTTTTCCCAGTCTTTTCAAGCTATTCAAGCTGCAGTTTTTCTTTGCGGAATAACTTCAAGATTTTCAAGGATTTTCCCAGTCTTTTTAGCTATTCAAGCTGCAGTTTTTGTTTGCGGAATATCTTCCAGATTTCCAAGACTTTTGTCTTTACTAGCTGTTTCCCTTGCAGAATGGCTTCATGACATTCAAGTTTCCACTTGTCTTTTCAAGCCGTTTAAGTTGCTGTTGTACTTCAAGATGGACTACCCAATCGTTCCTCTTGAGTGCGACACTTCCGCCTGCTACGGAGCCGCTACTTCTGGCTTTTACTTCGATTTTTTTCTTTTGGAGTTCGAATTGCGCCGCGCCCATTATTTCATATTTGCCTATGTCCTTTTAGGACTTACACTTTCTCTTTAGGTAGAGCCAACCCTTTTCAAAGTATAATGATACGTGTTCTACCAGACTTGCCCTCAAGTTTTCAATTTGCCTTTTACTGCACACTCGTTCAGAAAAAGGCCCACCCTTGCGACACCGTTCAAGCCCGTTTTTGTTCGTTGTCTTCTCGCTCCAAGTCCTGCGCTCTCGGTTTCTTTTCTTCGAAGACGTCTCCGTTGCGCTCGTCTTGCCGCCACCCCGTCGCCGCCTACGTTCTCGGTAGCTCGCTGAGCTACTCGTCTTCTTCAGTGGCAACGCCCTTGTTTGCTTTTGCTCCCTATATTGTTAGTCTATCGCGTCTCTTCTTTCTACTTCCTTGTTGTTGTCTGATGCCTACTGCTTATTGCGGCTGGTGGAGAGACCGTAAGAACTTCCATTCAAGGGGTTTACAACTTGCGTCGTTCTAAGTTACAGGACTGCAGTTGCGTTGTGCCGTGTATTAAGGTACACTTAGCGCTACATAGCTTCCGGTAGAGACTCTCTTTACTTTGCGTGGGAAGAAGCCCCCATAGTTAAGTTTGCCCCTCTTACCGCAGACAGTCATCCGCGTAGACGACTTTAGTCGGGAGTTGTTAGTACTCATGGTGAACCCACGCATTACACCCCGACGCACTGAGTTCCCCCGTCTGCTACCGGCGGACTCTTTGCTTGAGACTAGTGAATCCGAACTAGCTCTCAGTGACTTAGACGCTTTGCGTCTTAATGCTTTAAAACTTGCCCCTACGCCAACTAGTGCGGCGGAGCTGCATCGCATGTGGATTCCATGCCCTCATGCGATCAAGCGCAAGCACCTTGCCGAGGTGCTCGATGAGCTTGCGAAAGACGACCAACCACAGTTGTGGAATGACGCACGTCAGGCTCGTCTTCTTCGAGACTTTAAGCTGATCCCTAATGCAGGGATCCGTTTGACGTGCACGGCCTACGACACTGCTTCTAAACTCAGTTTGGTCAAGCTCAATGCGTTTGGTTCCCAAATCCAAGTCGCACGGTTTTCGAAGTACGGTTCTCGTTACTACGTTGATCTGGTCCGTCTGCCTGACGAAGTCACGGACCGCGTGATTTTTGATTGGTTTGCGGAACATGGTGCACCTCCGACGTGTGTTCTACCCACGTTCGTGCGAAACGATCTTCCTTCGCGGGAACGTACCGTTTCTATTGGTCGAGATCAGGCGCCTTCTGTCTTGGTCCATTTTCAAGACAATCCTCTTCGTGAGATTGAATTTTCATCGCCGGACGACGGCATGGTCAAGCTTCGTGCGTGTTTCGTCAACCACAAAGTGGCAAGTTACAACCGTGTAACGCCTCCGTCAATTCTTCTACGTCAAGAGGCAGATGCCGCGCGCATGGCGACTGAATCTGCGGCGTCTTCACCATCTAGTTTGTTCTCACCATCTGGTGCTCCTATTCCTTCTGATCCCAAGGGACATGTATCGTCTCTTCGGGAATCGATTTGCCGCATGCCACCTGATTTACCAGCGGATTCTCCACTTGATTCTTCACTGGATTTAAAAGCTGATTCTTCAGGCTCTCCCGTTGCGCCTTCGGATCATGACACCTCTCGTACTGATGACGTCGCCATGTCGGATGACGACGTTGGGTCGACTATGGGTGATGCTGTCGACAAATCTGTTTCGGACCCCTCCGACTTCAACTTGGAGGCATTTTTGGGTGAAGTTATCAATGCCCCCAAGATTAATCCTGGTGCACCGCTATGGACGAAAGCGGGTACCAATCGTCAGGCTCTTTACGGTCGTTCTGGCGCTGATCTGGTTGAAGCCAAGTCGATCAAGTATGATTTCAACGCTGAAGCTGGTACAGCTCAAGCGACTGGCCTCGTCAAGCCAAATTACTACCATTCGCTATGGTTTGAGGACGCTGACCCGGACGTCGCTCAATGTCAGTACGATCTCGAAGCTCGTCATGAGGAAGGCAACGAGACTTGTATGGAGTGTGGTCAAGTTGCTGCCGACAAGAAGACCTACATCTCCATCGTAGCCCCATACACTATTGGCTACGAAGTTGAGAGTATGAAACGACTTGAACTCACCAAGTGCGTGGACTCTTTTTTAAAAGATCTCAGTTACCGTACCCCGCTCGAACAATTGGATACGGTTGAGGCTAACCCGGGACTTATGCTCCCGGCTATGGCGTCTAAAGATCGCCTAGACACTCTTGCCCATTACCGAAGTGTCTGTCGTCTTTTGGCTCACACTCGTCCTGGTACGAGTGTGGCTCAGTCGCAATGTTCAAGGGTTCTTCATGCGACGGGCAAGGCAAAGACCATGCTCAAAAACCTTTTGGGTCATGGGCCTCCAATTTTGGCTCAAGACAAGAAGGCTCTTTTTGCTCCTTCAAGCTGGGATTTGGTGCTTCATATTATGGCACTGACGGTATATCATGACCCTATCAAGCTGTTCGTCCTCACGGATACTATCCCGGACTTTCTCGTCGATTTGAGGGTTCCGCTGCTTTCGGATAACACTCTTTGGCTGCTCGGTTTCAGCTATTTCGCGAAAGACCTTTTGCAGTACGAGACTGTGCCCGACTCTTTGAAGTCTTTGGTTCAGGCTGTCCAAGCATTGAAACCTAATGCGAAAGGGTCCCCAAGTCATCGCCTTCATTTTTGGGCAGGAGGCATGGGCCTTCAAGGCGGTTTCACTCAATGTGAATGGGTTGAACAAGCCCCGCCTTCAGTTCTACCAAGATCTACTTTCACAATATCAAGTTGTCGCTTTTCAAGAAACCAAGCTTTCAAGTCAACAGTTGATACAAGATAACGACTATTTTCTGCATGCCGCGGGTGCCCATGCCCGCTCGTTTTGGTCGCATTCCACTTCGACCGAGTTGGGCTTCGCAACGGTGTCGCTCTGCTTTTTAATGGAGCACACCCCTCTCAAGACCTTCGGGACGATTCTGCGCTTTTTGCCAATACTGTGGAATTAGGCAATCGGTATTTGGTGGTTTCTGCCAATTTGCGTCCGATTCAAATTTATTTTCATGTGGTCGATGGACCTGTTCGATCCGAAGATCGAGTCATCTTCTATTCAAGTTTACCAAGATCTTGAGACGACTCGACGGTTCATTTAGTCATGGGTGATTCCAATATGTCAAAGGACCCATCACTGGACCAAGCTACGCCTGGATCTACTTTTCACGACGCTGGTCGTGCTGAGCTTTTTGACTGGATGATTAGCCTCGGCCTCATCGACTTTTGGTGACTCGAAAACCCCGATCTGCGTGTGTTTACGGGTCCCAAGTCCAAGAATTGCATCGACTACTGCTTGGCTAGTATCGAGTTTTACGACAAGTTTGTTCGTTCGTCTTCTCATCTTTTGGGTACCAAGTTTGGGGGCGCGGATCACGTACCAGTGGAATTTTCTGCGTCGTCACATTCACCAACACCAAGTAATTCACTACCATTCAAGTGCCCGACTTGGCTTCTCAAGTGCGACCAAGTTCAAGATCAACTGTCCCGTAACCTTCAATGTTTGGCTTCAGTATTGGATCCAAGCGAAAATCCTGGGTGTCTTTTGGGTGAGCACAAACGGCGCGATCGAGTTTTTCTTTGTCAAGAATTTATTAGGCGGAAGGATGCTACTGCAAGTCAACTCCGGCACCTTCTTACGGCTTCACGGGAATGCGAGAAACTTTTCTCTATGGATCCAAGTGATTACACTCGGCTTCAACGTGATTGGTCCCGTCAAGCCTATTTGGACTTTTCAATGGCTCTTCGCGACCGGAACGCCGCTTCCAAGTTTGATCTGGATGTTAGTTCGGGTGAACAATCTACTAAACATTTTTTCGGGCTCCCGCTGCGGCGGAACTCAAGCTGTCCATATCGTCTGTCAACACGTCTTCAGGGTTGTCAAGGGACCCGTCTATGATTCTTTCGACTCATCGTCGATATTGGGGCACCGTTTTTCAATCGGACTCCCGCGATTTGGAGGTCGTTTCCCAGCAATTAGACCCTTCCAAATTTCAAGATATTCTTCAACACAGCCATCGGGAGCTCAAGTCAGCTCACGCCGCCCTTCTCGACGCGCCGATTACGGCTAATGATTTTTTCCACGCTATGAAGCATCCGCTCGTGGGAAGTCGCCGGGTTCAGATGTACTACCTGCGGAGTACTACCAGCTTTTTCCTGCCAAGTGGGCTCAAGTCTTGGAGCTTGTTTATGCGGCTCAATTCCGGCTAGGTTGCATGTCCAAGTTTCAACGCCGCGCCTACATCTCGCTACTCTTTAAGAAGAGATCAAGATCGGAACCCAAGAACTATTGGCCCTTGACTTTGCTGAATCAAGATGCCAAGTTCGGACCAAAAGCATCCGCTTATTGCCTTAACTTAGTTTTGCCCAGTTTACTGGAGGTGAATCAATTTGGCTTCGTGCCTGGACGTGACATCCGGCACGCGCTTCGATATTTTCATGACCTTCAAGATCACTGCCGATGGAAGAATTCACAAGATCCCGCCAGCGCTATTTGCCTCGACTTTGCCAAAGCTTTTGATAGTGTCAACTGGAAAGCCTTGGATCAAGTTCTTCAACATTGGGGATTTAGGTTCAGTTCCGCCATTGGGTAAAGACTTTTTGTCGGGGTACACTGTTCCAAGTTTTAATTAATTCTTCGCGCTCGGACTTCTTCAGCTTGGGTGCCGGCGTTCGTCATGGGGATCCACTATCGCCCGGTCTATTTGTGCTCTTTATTGAGCCTTTGCTGTGTTACCTGCGGGCAACTACAGAATTTTCTGCCATCAAGATTTGCAATACCTCTCATCAGCTCGTCGGTTTTGCTGATGATGTTACGGGTTTGGTGAGCAATCTCTCCCATGCTCCCAAGTTTCCGGATCGTGTCCAAGATTTCTGTGCCGACACTGGCATGCGGCTTAATGTGGACAAGACGGTCATCTTTACCTTTCGGCCATGGACTTCTTCGGACATCAACCTTCGAGATCGGCTTCGGGATTTGGGCGTTCAAATTCTCACGAATGACGAACACACTACACTATTAGGCGTTACGGTTGGGCCAGCTGTTACGCCACAACTGCAACTTTCCCAGCTTCTTGCTCGGGTGCAGAAGCTCTGTGTGTCTTGGCGTTGGCGTGCTCGTACCCTGAGGGGTCGAGTGCTTATTCTCAATACCATGATTCTTTCGACACTCTAGCATTTTTTGGGTACTGTGGCTGTGTCGAAGAAAGATCTGCTTAAGTTCAATCCGCTTATGCGGAACTTCATCAAATGTACCCCATCAAGTACGGTGACCGACCCAGCTTCAAGGAGTCAATTTCCGAGCGCTTGGCACCCAGTGGATGCATTTTCGGGCGGCCTTGAGCTACCTTCGATTGCGACTTCGGTGGAACTCCTTCAAGTTAATCTCGTCCGGCAGTCAATTCGTCAAAGCCGTCAAGAGTATTCCACTCCGTCCAAGTGGTTTGTTCCCGCTCAAGCTGCGAATGACTCGGCTTTCGGTGGTCAAGGTTCGGGTTTGGATTTTCTCTACATCCCGCTTTCGCCTTTGGCTCAATCTTCTCGCTGGCACACCATTCCCGACTACTGGAAGGCTGCTATTGCTACTTGGAGCACCAAGATTTTTCCCAAGCTTCAATGCATGAACCCAGTTGTGACCAAGCTTACGTGGCCATTTTGGAATAATTTTTTCATTCGGTTTATGGAGGACAAGCGGACACTTGCAGTGCTCCATCGGAAGGCCTGCAATTTTCTCAGTCATCAAGGTGTTACAAGGATTTTGACTTTTCTCTCCGTTTTTGGCTCGCTTCCGGATGAAGTTGCTCTTCGGATTTCGTTGGCTTCCTCTTCGATCAAGCCGGGCCGCTCGATGACTTCTGTGGTCCAAAAGATGGCTCCGCGACTTGCTTTACCCGCACACTATCAAGATTTCGCGATGTTTCCGCTGCCGCCTGAAAGGATGGTCGGAGCACTTCATGTATGTACTTTCGATGGTGTTGACATTGCCACGCCGTCAAACCGGATCATCAAGCGTCTTTTGCTTGATCAAGAGCCGCCGCCCCTTCCACTTCTCCAGCTTTCAGTTCCTGAAGTGGTTATTGGGTCTTCACATTGGGCGCTCGAACGGCTGCTCCAACGCGATGTTCTGCCAGTCTATTCTGACTTCGTCTTTTGGCTCCAGCATAATGGACTTGGTTTTCGGTACAAGTACCATTGGCACACGGCGGACGTTCATTGTGTTCACAGTTGTATTACTCCGGAAAAACCCCATCATTTACTATGGGATTGCTATATGGCCAAGCGTATGTGGCTATTATTTCTTCCCCCGTTTTCACGAATTTTCCAGTCTACGATCGGCTGGCCCCATGTTTTCTTTCTGCTTCACTTGGACATTCCGGTGCGTCGCCAAGATCTGTTTGGCTCGCTACCTCCGGTTCGACTCTTCAACATGGTCCGCATTGTCATTTTACGGACGCTTAAGCTCAATAGCAACAAGGCGATTTTCGACCCCCCCTGCTCTACAATTTATGGGTGTCTTCCGTCAATGTCTGACCATGGTTCGTCTTCATCTTCAGCATTTCTTCATGACGATGAAGCACCCGCAATAGAAGGACATCATTCGACTCAAGGCTCAACTTCTTGCTTTCAGTGATGAATGGTATCGCGACTTTTCCGAAGATTCCTGCTATCTTCTTGCGGAATAACTTAAAGATTTTCTAGGATTTTCCCAGTCTTTTCCAGCTATTCAAGCTGCAGTTTTTCTTTGCGGAATAACTTCAAGATTTTCAGAGTTTTTCCCAGTCTTTTCAAGCTATTCAAGCTGCAGTTTTTCTTTGCGGAATAACTTCAAGATTTTCAAGGATTTTCCCAGTCTTTTCAGCTATTCAAGCTGCAGTTTTTGTTTGCGGAATATCTTCCAGATTTCCAAGACTTTTGTCTTTTACTAGCTGTTTCCCTTGCAGAATGGCTTCATGACATTCAAGTTTCCACTTGTCTTTTCAAGCCGTTTAAGTTGCTGTTGTACTTCAAGATGGACTACCCAATCGTTCCTCTTGAGTGCGACACTTCCGCCTGCTACGGAGCCGCTACTTCTGGCTTTTACTTCGATTTTTTTCTTTTGGAGTTCGAATTGCGCCGCGCCCATTATTTCATATTTGCCTATGTCCTTTTAGGACTTACACTTTCTCTTTAGGTAGAGCCAACCCTTTTCAAAGTATGATGATACGTGTTCTACCAGACTTGCCCTCAAGTTTTCAATTTGCCTTTTACTGCACACTCGTTCAGAAAAAGGCCCACCCTTGCGACACCGTTCAAGCCCGTTTTTGTTCGTTGTCTTCTCGCTCCAAGTCCTGCGCTCTCGGTTTCTTTTCTTCGAAGACGTCTCCGTTGCGCTCGTCTTGCCGCCACCCCGTCGCCGCCTACGTTCTCGGTAGCTCGCTGAGCTACTCGTCTTCTTCAGTGGCAACGCCCTTGTTTGCTTTTGCTCCCTATATTGTTAGTCTATCGCGTCTCTTCTTTCTACTTCCTTGTTGTTGTCTGATGCCTACTGCTTATTGCGGCTGGTGGAGAGACCGTAAGAACTTCCATTCAAAGGGGTTTACAACTTGCGTCGTTCTAAGTTACAGGACTGCAGTTGCGTTGTGCCGTGTATTAAGGTACACTTAGCGCTACATAGCTTCCGGTAGAGACTCTCTTTACTTTGCGTGGGAAGAAGCCCCCATAGTTAAGTTTGCCCCTCTTACCGCAGACAGTCATCCGCGTAGACGACTTTAGTCGGGAGTTGTTAGTACTCATGGTGAACCCACGCATTACACCCCGACGCACTGAGTTCCCCCGTCTGCTACCGGCGGACTCTTTGCTTGAGACTAGTGAATCCGAACTAGCTCTCAGTAACTTAGACGCTTTGCGTCTTAATGCTTTAAAACTTGCCTCTACGCCAACTAGTGCGGCGGAGCTGCATCGCATGTGGATTCCATGCCCTCATGCGATCAAGCGCAAGCACCTTGCCGAGGTGCTCGATGAGCTTGCGAAAGACGACCAACCACAGTTGTGGAATGACGCACGTCAGGCTCGTCTTCTTCGAGACTTTAAGCTGATCCCTAATGCAGGGATCCGTTTGACGTGCACGGCCTACGACACTGCTTCTAAACTCAGTTTGGTCAAGCTCAATGCGTTTGGTTCCCAAATCCAAGTCGCACGGTTTTCGAAGTACGGTTCTCGTTACTACGTTGATCTGGTCCGTCTGCCTGACGAAGTCACGGACCGCGTGATTTTTGATTGGTTTGCGGAACATGGTGCACCTCCGACGTGTGTCCTACCCACGTTCGTGCGAAACGGTCTTCCATCGCGCGAACGTACCGTTTATTTTGGGCAAGATCAGGCGCTTTCTGTCTTGGACCCTTCTCAAGACAATCCTCTTCGTGAGATTGAATTTTCATCGCCGGACGACGGCATGGTCAGGCTTCGTGCGTGTTTCGTCAACCACAAAGTGGCAGGTTACAACCGTGTAACGCCTCCTTCAATTCGTCTACGTCAAGAGGCAGATGCCGCGCGCAAGGCGACTGAATCTGCGGCGTCTTCACCATCTAGTTTGTTCTCACCATCTGGTGCTCCTATTTCTTCTGATCCCAAGGGATATGTATCGTCTCTTCGGGAATCGATTTGCCGCATGCCACCTGATTTACCAGCGGATTCTCCACTTGATTCTTCACTGGATTTAAAAGCTGATTCTTCAGGCTCTCCCGTTGCGCCTTCGGATCATGACACCTCTCGTACTGATGACGTCGCCATGTCGGATGACGACGTTGGGTCGACTATGGGTGATGCTGTCGACAAATCTGTTTCGGACCCCTCCGACTTCAACTTGGAGGCATTTTTGGGTGAAGTTATCAATGCCCCCAAGATTAATCCTGGTGCACCGCTATGGACGAAAGCGGGTACCAATCGTCAGGTTCTTTACGGTCGTTCTGGCGCTGATCTGGTTGAAGCCAAGTCGATCAAGTATGATTTCAACGCTGAAGCTGGTACAGCTCAAGCGACTGGCCTCGTCAAGCCAAATTACTACCATTCGCTATGGTTTGAGGACGCTGACCCGGACGTCGCTCAATGTCAGTACGATCTCGAAGCTCGTCATGAGGAAGGCAACGAGACTTGTATGGAGTGTGGTCAAGTTGCTGCCGACAAGAAGACCTACATCTCCATCGTAGCCCCATACACTATTGGCTATGTAGTTGAGAGTATGAAACGACTTGAACTCACCAAGTGCGTGGACTCTATTTTAAAAGACCTCAGTTACCGTACCCCGCTCGAACAATTGGATACGGTTGAGGCTAACCCGGGACTTATGCTCCCGGCTATGGCGTCTAAAGATCGCCTAGACACTCTTGCCCATTACCGAAGTGTCTGTCGTCTTTTGGCTCACACTCGTCCTGGTACGAGTGTGGCTCAGTCGCAATGTTCAAGGGTTCTTCATGCGACGGGCAAGGCAAAGACCATGCTCAAAAACCTTTTGGGTCATGGGCCTCCAATTTTGGCTCAAGACAAGAAGGCTCTTTTTGCTCCTTCAAGCTGGGATTTGGTGCTTCATATTATGGCACTGACGGTATATCATGACCCTATCAAGCTGTTCGTCCTCACGGATACTATCCCGGACTTTCTCGTCGATTTGAGGGTTCCGCTGCTTTCGGATAACACTCTTTGGCTGCTCGGTTTCAGCTATTTCGCGAAAGACCTTTTGCAGTACGAGACTGTGCCCGACTCTTTGAAGTCTTTGGTTCAGGCTGTCCAAGCATTGAAACCTAATGCGAAAGGGTCCCCAAGTCATCGCCTTCATTTTTGGGCAGGAGGCATGGGCCTTCAAGGCGGTTTCACTCAATGTGAATGGGTTGAACAAGCCCCGCCTTCAGTTCTACCAAGATCTACTTTCACAATATCAAGTTGTCGCTTTTCAAGAAACCAAGCTTTCAAGTCAACAGTTGATACAAGATAACGACTACTTTCTGCATGCCGCGGGTGCCCATGCCCGCTCGTTTTGGTCGCATTCCACTTCGACCGAGTTGGGCTTCGCAACGGTGTCGCTATGCTTTTTAATGGAGCACACCCCTCTCAAGACCTTCGGGACGATTCTGCGCTTTTTGCCAATACTGCGGAATTAGGCAATCGGTATTTGGTGGTTTCTGCCAATTTGCGTCCGATTCAAATTTATTTTCATGTGGTCGATGGACCTGTTAGATCCGAAGATCGAGCCATCTTCTATTCAAGTTTACCAAGATCTTGAGACGACTCGACGGTTCATTTAGTCATGGGTGATTCCAATATGTCAAAGGACCCATCACTGGACCAAGCTACGCCTGGATCTACTTTTCACGACGCTGGTCGTGCTGAGCTTTTCGACTGGATGATTAGCCTCGGCCTCATCGACTTTTGGTGACTCGAAAACCCCGATCTGCGTGTGTTTACGGGTCCCAAGTCCAAGAATCGCATCGACTACTGCTTGGCTAGTATCGATGTTTACGACAAGTTTGTTCGTTCGTCTTCTCATCTTTTGGGTACCAAGTTTGGGGGCGCGGATCACGTACCAGTGGAATTTTCTGCGTCGTCACATTCACCAACCCCAAGTAATTCACTACCATTCAAGTGCCCGACTTGGCTTCTCAAGTGCGACCAAGTTCAAGATCAACTGTCCCGTAACCTTCAACGTTTGGCTTCAGTATTGGATCCAAGCGAAAATCCTGGGTGTCTTTTGGATGAGCACAAACGGCGCGATCGATTTTTTCTTTGTCAAGAATTTATTAGGCGGAAGGATGCTACTGCAAGTCAACTCCGGCACCTTCTTACGGCTTCACGGGAATGCGAGAAACTTTTCTCTATGGATCCAAGTGATTACACTCGGCTTCAACGTGATCAGTCCCGTCAAGCCTATTTGGACTTTTCAATGGCTCTTCGCGACCGGAACGCCGCTTCCAAGTTTGATCTGGATGTTAGTTCGGGTGAACAATCTACTAAACATTTTTTTCGGGCTCCCGCTGCGGCGGAACTCAAGCTGTCCATATCGTATGTCAACACGTCTTCAGGGTTGTCAAGGGACCTGTCTATGATTCTTTCGACTCATCGTCGATATTGGGGCACCGTTTTTCAATCGGAATCCCGCGATTTGGAGGTCGTTTCCCAGCAATTCGACCCTTCCAAATTTCAAGATATTCTTCAACACAGCCATCGGAAGCTCAAGTCAACTCACGCCGCCCTTCTCGACGCGCCGATTACGGCTAATGATTTTTTCCACGCTATGAAGCATACCGCTCGTGGGAAGTCTCCAGGTCCAGATGTACTACCTGCGGAGTACTACCAGCTTTTTCCTGCCAAGTGGGCTCAAGTCTTGGAGCTTGTTTATGCGGCTCAATTCCGGCTAGGTTGCATGTCCAAGTTTCAACGCCGCGCCTACATCTCGCTACTCTTTAAAAAGGGATCAAGATCGGACCCCAAGAACTATCGGCCCTTGACTTTGCTGAATCAAGATGCCAAGTTCTGCCCGAAAAGAATTGGCTTATCTCCTTAACTAAGTTTTGCCCAGTGTACTGGAGGTGGATCAATTTGGCTTCGTGTCTGGACGTGACATCCGGCACGCGCTTCGATATTTTCATGACCTTCAAGATCACTGCCGATGGAAGAATTCACAAGATCCCGCCAGCGCTATTTGCCTCGACTTTGCCAAAGCTTTTGGTAGTGTCAACTGGAAAGCCTTGGATCAAGTTCTTCAACATTGGGGATTTAGGTTCAGTTTCCGCCATTGGGTAAAGACCTTTTGTCGGGGTTCACTGTTCCAAGTTTTAATTAATTCTTCGCGCTCGGACTTCTTCAGCTTGGGTGCCGGCGTTCGTCATGGGGATCCACTATCACCCGGTCTATTTGTGCTCTTTATTGAGCCTTTGCTGTGTTACCTGCGGGCAACTACAGAATTTTCTGCCATCAAGATTCGCAATACCTCTCATCAGCTCGTCGGTTTTGCTGATGATGTTACGGGTTTGGTGAGCAATCTCTCCCATGCTCCCAAGTTTCCGGATCGTGTCCAAGATTTCTGTGCCGACACTGGCATGCGGCTTAATGTGGACAAGACGGTCATCTTTACCTTTCGGCCATGGACTTCTTCGGACATCAACCTTCGAGATCGGCTTCGGGATTTGGGCGTTCAAATTCTCACGAATGACGAACACACTACACTATTAGGCGTTACGGTTGGGCCAGCTGTTACGCCACAACTGCAACTTTCCCAGCTTCTTGCTCGGGTGCAGAAGCTCTGTGTGTCTTGGCGTTGGCGTGCTCGTACCCTGAGGGGTCGAGTGCTTATTCTCAATACCATGATTCTTTCGACACTCTAGCATTTTTTGGGTACTGTGGCTGTGTCGAAGAAAGATCTGCTTAAGTTCAATCCGCTTATGCGGAACTTCATCAAATGTACCCCATCAAGTACGGTGACCGACCCAGCTTCAAGGAGTCAATTTCCGAGCGCTTGGCACCCAGTGGATGCATTTTCGGGCGGCCTTGAGCTACCTTCGATTGCGACTTCGGTGGAACTCCTTCAAGTTAATCTCGTCCGGCAGTCAATTCGTCAAAGCCGTCAAGACTATTCCACTCCGTTCAAGTGGTTTGTTCCCGCTCAAGCTGCGATTGACTCGGCTTTCGGCGGTCAAGGTTCGGGTTTGGATTTTCTCTACATCCCGCTTTCGCCTTTGGCTCAATCTTCTCGCTGGCACGCCATTACCGACTACTGGAAGGCTGCTATTGCTACTTGGAGCACCAAGATTTTTCCCAAGCTTCAATTTACGAACCCAGTTGTGACCAAGCTTACGTGGCCGATTTGGAATAATTTTTTCATTCGGTTTATGGAGGACAAGCGGACACTTGCAGTGCTCCATCGGAAGGCCTGCAATTTTCTCAGTCATCAAGGTGTTACAAGGATTTTGACTTTTCTCTCCGTTTTTGGCTCGCTTCCGGATGAAGATACTCTTCGGATTTCGTTGGCTTCCTCTTCGATCAAGCCGGGCCGCTCGATGACTTCTGTGGTACAAAAGCTGGCTTCGCGACTTGCTTTATCCGCACACTATCAAGATTTCGCGATGTTTCCGCTGCCACCTGAAAGGATGGTCGGCGCACTTCATGTATGTACTTTCGATGGTGTTGACATTGCCACGCCGTCAAACCGGATCATCAAGCGTCTGTTGCTTGATCAAGAGCCGCCGCCCCTTCCACTTCTCCAGCTTTCAGTTCCTGAAGTGGTTATTGGGTCTTCACATTGGGCGCTCGAACGGCTGCTCCAACGCGATGTTCTGCCAGTCTATTCTGACTTCGTCTTTTGGCTCCAGCATAATGGACTTGGTTTCCGGTACAAGTACCATTGGCACACGGCGGACGTTCATTGTGTTCACAGTTGTATTACTCCGGAAAACCCCCATCATTTACTATGGGATTGCTATATGGCCAAGCGTCTGTGGCTATTATTTCTTCCCCCGTTTTCACGAATTTTCCAGTCTACGATCGGCTGGCCCCATGTTTTCTTTCTGCTTCACTTGTACATTCCGGTGCGTCGCCAAGATCTGTTTGGCTCGCTACCTCCGGTTCGACTCTTCAACATGGTCTGCATTGTTATTTTACGGACGCTTAAGCTCAATAGCAACAAGGCGATTTTCGACCCCCCTGCTCTACAATTTATGGGTGTCTTCCGTCAATGTCTGACCATGGTTCGTCTTCATCTTCAGCATTTCTTCATGACGATGAAGCACCCGCAATAGAAGGACATCATTCGACTCAAGGCTCAACTTCTTGCTTTCAGTGATGAATGGTATCGCGACTTTTCCGAAGATTCCTACTATCTTCTTGCGGAATAACTTAAAGATTTTCAAGGATCTTCCCAGTCTTTTCCAGCTATTCAAGCTGCAGTTTTTCTTTGCGGAATAACTTCAAGATTTTCAAGGATTTTCCCAGTCTTTTCAAGCTATTCAAGCTGCAGTTTTCTTTGCGGAATAACTTCAAGATTTTCTAGGATTTTCCCAGTCTTTTCAAGCTATTCAAGCTGCAGTTTTTCTTTGCGGAATAACTTCAAGATTTTCAAGGATTTTCCCAGTCTTTTCCAGCTATTCAAGCTGCAGTTTTTCTTTGCGGAATGACCTCAAGATTTTCAAGGATTTTCCCAGTCTTTTCAAGCTATTCAAGCTGCAGTTTTTCTTTGTGGAATAACTTCAAGATTTTCTAGGATTTTCCCAGTCTTTTCAAGCTATTCAAGCTGCAGTTTTTCTTTGCGGAAGAACTTCAAGATTTCCAAGATTTTTGTCGTTACTAGCTATTTACCTTGCGGATAGGCTTCATGACATTCAAGTTTCCACTTGTCTTTTCAAGCCGTTCAACTTGCTGTTGTACTTCAAGATGGACTACCCAATCGTTCCTCTTGAGTGCGACACTTCCGCCTGCTACGGAGCCGCTACTTCTGGCTTTTACTTCGATTTTTTTCTTTTGGAGTTCGAATTGCGCCGCGCCCATTATTTCATATTTGCCTATGTCCTTTTAGGACTTACACTTTCTCTTTAGGTAGAGCCAACCCTTTTCAAAGTATGATGATACGTGTTCTACCAGACTTGCCCTCAAGTTTTTAATTTTCCTTCTACTGCACACTCGTTCAGAAAGAGGCCCACCCTTGCGACACTGTTCAAGCCCGTTTTTGTTCGTTGTCTTCTCGCTCCAAGTCCTGCGCTCTCGGTTTCTTTTCTTCGAAGACGTCTCCGTTGCGCTCGTCTTGCCGCCACCCCGTCGCCGCCTACGTTCTCGGTAGCTCGCTGAGCTACTCGTCTTCTTCAGTGGCAACGCCCTTGTTTGCTTTTGCTCCCTATATTGTTAGTCTATCGCGTCTCTTCTTTCTACTTCCTTGTTGTTGTCTGATGCCTACTGCTTATTGCGGCTGGTGGAGAGACCGTAAGAACTTCCATTCAAGGGGTTTACAACTTGCGTCGTTCTAAGTTACAGGACTGCAGTTGCGTTGCGCCGTGTATTAAGGTACACTTAGCGCTTCATAGCTTCCGGTAGAGACTCTCTTTACTTTGCGTGGGAAGAAGCCCCCAGAGTTAAGTTTGCCCCTCTTACCGCAGACAGTCATCCGCGTAGACGACTTTAGTCGGGAGTTGTTAGTACTCATGGTGAACCCACGCATTACACCCCGACGCACTGAGTTCCCCCGTCTGCTACCGGCGGACTCTTTGCTTGAGACTAGTGAATCCGAACTAGCTCTCAGTAACTTAGACGCTTTGCGTCTTAATGCTTTAAAACTTGCCCCTACGCCAACTAGTGCGGCGGAGCTGCATCGCATGTGGATTCCTTGCCCTCATGCGATAGAGCGCAAGCACCTTGCCGAGGTGCTCGATGAGCTTGCGAAAGACGACCAACCACAGTTGTGGAATGACGCACGTCAGGCTCGTCTTCTTCGAGACTTTAAGCTGATCCCTAATGCAGGGATCCGTTTGACGTGCACGGCCTACGACACTGCTTCTAAACTCAGTTTGGTCAAGCTCAATGCGTTTGGTTCCCAAATCCAAGTCGCACGGTTTTCGAAGTACGGTTCTCGTTACTACGTTGATCTGGTCCGTCTGCCTGACGAAGTCACGGACCGCGTGATTTTTGATTGGTTTGCGGAACATGGTGCACCTCCGACGTGTGTTCTACCCACGTTCGTGCGAAACGATCTTCCTTCGCGGGAACGTACCGTTTCTATTGGTCGAGATCAGGCGCCTTCTGTCTTGGTCCATTTTCAAGACAATCCTCTTTGTGAGATTGAATTTTCATCGCCGGACGACGGCATGGTCAAGCTTCGTGCGTGTTTCGTCAACCACAAAGTGGCAAGTTACAACCGTGTAAAGCCTCCGTCAATTCTTCTACGTCAAGAGGCAGATGCCGCGCGCAAGGCGACTGAATCTGCGGCGTCTTCACCATCTAGTTTGTTCTCACCATCTGGTGCTCCTATTCCTTCTGATCCCAAGGGATATGTATCGTCTCTTCGGGAATCGATTTGCCGCATGCCACCTGATTTACCAGCGGATTCTCCACTTGATTCTTCACTGGATTTAAAAGCTGATTCTTCAGGCTATCCAGTTGCACCTTCGGATCATGACACCTCTCGTACTGATGACGTCGCCATGTCGGATGACGACGTTGGGTCGACTATGGGTGATGCTGTCGACGAATCTGTTTCGGACCCCTCCGACTTCAACATGGAGGCATTTTTGGGTGAAGTTATCAATGCCCCCAAGATTAATCCTGGTGCACCGCTATGGACGAAAGCGGGTACCAATCGTCAGGCTCTTTACGGTCGTTCTGGCGCTGATCTGGTTGAAGCCAAGTCGATCAAGTATGATTTCAACGCTGAAGCTGGTACAGCTCAAGCGACTGGCCTCGTCAAGCCAAATTACTACCATTCGCTATGTTTTGAGGACGCTGACCCGGACGTCGCTCAATGTCAGTACGATCTCGAAGTTCGTCATGAGGAAGGCAACGAGACTTGTATGGAGTGTGGTCAAGTTGATGCCGACAAGAAGACCTACATCTCCATCGTAGCCCCATACACTATTGGCTATGAAGTTGAGAGTATGAAACGACTTGAACTCACCAAGTGCGTGGACTCTTTTTTAAAAGACCTCAGTTACCGTACCCCGCTCGAACAATTGGATACGGTTGAGGCTAACCCGGGACTTATGCTCCCGGCTATGGCGTCTAAAGATCGCCTAGACACTCTTGCCCATTACCGAAGTGTCTGTCGTCTTTTGGCTCACACTCGTCCTGGTACGAGTGTGGCTCAGTCGCAATGTTCAAGGGTTCTTCATGCGACGGGCAAGGCAAAGACCATGCTCAAAAACCTTTTGGGTCATGGGCCTCCAATTTTGGCTCAAGACAAGAAGGCTCTTTTTGCTCCTTCAAGCTGGGATTTGGTGCTTCATATTATGGCACTGACGGTATATCATGACCCTATCAAGCTGTTCGTCCTCATGGGTACTATCCCGGACTTTCTCGTCGATTTGAGGGTTCCGCTGCTTTCGGATAACACTCTTTGGCTGCTCGGTTTCAGCTATTTCGCGAAAGACCTTTTGCAGTACGAGACTGTGCCCGACTCTTTGAAGTCTTTGGTTCAGGCTGTCCAAGCATTGAAACCTAATGCGAAAGGGTCCCCAAGTCATCGCCTTCATTTTTGGGCAGGAGGCATGGGCCTTCAAGGCGGTTTCACTCAATGTGAATGGGTTGAACAAGCCCCGCCTTCAGTTCTACCAAGATCTACTTTCACTATATCAAGTTGTCGCTTTTCAAGAAACCAAGCTTTCAAGTCAACAGTTGATACAAGATAACGACTACTTTCTGCATGCCGCGGGTGCCCATGCCCGCTCGTTTTGGTCGCATTCCACTTCGACCGAGTTGGGCTTCGCAACGGTGTCGCTATGCTTTTTAATGGAGCACACCCCTCTCAAGACCTTCGGGACGATTCTGCGCTTTTTGCCAATACTGCGGAATTAGGCAATCGGTATTTGGTGGTTTCTGCCAATTTGCGTCCGATTCAAATTTATTTTCATGTGGTCGATGGACCTGTTAGATCCGAAGATCGAGCCATCTTCTATTCAAGTTTACCAAGATCTTGAGACGACTCGACGGTTCATTTAGTCATGGGTGATTCCAATATGTCAAAGGACCCATCACTGGACCAAGCTACGCCTGGATCTACTTTTCACGACGCTGGTCGTGCTGAGCTTTTCGACTGGATGATTAGCCTCGGCCTCATCGACTTTTGGTGACTCGAAAACCCCGATCTGCGTGTGTTTACGGGTCCCAAGTCCAAGAATCGCATCGACTACTGCTTGGCTAGTATCGATGTTTACGACAAGTTTGTTCGTTCGTCTTCTCATCTTTTGGGTACCAAGTTTGGGGGCGCGGATCACGTACCAGTGGAATTTTCTGCGTCGTCACACTCACCAACCCCAACTTATTCACTACCATTCAAGTGCCCGACTTGGCTTCTCAAGTGCGACCAAGTTCAAGATCAACTGTCCCGTAACCTTCAACGTTTGGCTTCAGTATTGGATCCAAGCGAAAATCCTGGGTGTCTTTTGGATGAGCACAAACGGCGCGATCGAATGTTTCTTTGTCAAGAATTTATTAGGCGGAAGGATGCTACTGCAAGTCAACTCCGGCACCTTCTTACGGCTTCACGGGAATGCGAGAAACTTTTCTCTATGGATCCAAGTGATTACACTCGGCTTCAACGTGATCAGTCCCGTCAAGCCTATTTGGACTTTTCAATGGCTCTTCGCGACCGGAACGCCGCTTCCAAGTTTGATCTGGATGTTAGTTCGGGTGAACAATCTACTAAACATTTTTTTCGGGCTCCCGCTGCGGCGGAACTCAAGCTGTCCATATCGTATGTCAACACGTCTTCAGGGTTGTCAAGGGACCTGTCTATGATTCTTTCGACTCATCGTCGATATTGGGGCACCGTTTTTCAATCGGAATCCCGCGATTTGGAGGTCGTTTCCCAGCAATTCGACCCTTCCAAATTTCAAGATATTCTTCAACACAGCCATCGGAAGCTCAAGTCAACTCACGCCGCCCTTCTCGACGCGCCGATTACGGCTAATGATTTTTTCCACGCTATGAAGCATACCGCTCGTGGGAAGTCTCCAGGTCCAGATGTACTACCTGCGGAGTACTACCAGCTTTTTCCTGCCAAGTGGGCTCAAGTCTTGGAGCTTGTTTATGCGGCTCAATTCCGGCTAGGTTGCATGTCCAAGTTTCAACGCCGCGCCTACATCTCGCTACTCTTTAAAAAGGGATCAAGATCGGACCCCAAGAACTATCGGCCCTTGACTTTGCTGAATCAAGATGCCAAGTTCTGCCCGAAAAGAATTGGCTTATCTCCTTAACTAAGTTTTGCCCAGTGTACTGGAGGTGGATCAATTTGGCTTCGTGTCTGGACGTGACATCCGGCACGCGCTTCGATATTTTCATGACCTTCAAGATCACTGCCGATGGAAGAATTCACAAGATCCCGCCAGCGCTATTTGCCTCGACTTTGCCAAAGCTTTTGGTAGTGTCAACTGGCAAGCCTTGGATCAAGTTCTTCAACATTGGGGATTTGGGCTCAATTTCCGCCATTGGGTAAAGACCTTTTGTCGGGGTTCACTGTTCCAAGTTTTAATTAATTCTTCGCGCTCGGACTTCTTCAGCTTGGGTGCCGGCGTTCGTCATGGGGATCCACTATCACCCGGTCTATTTGTGCTCTTTATTGAGCCTTTGCTGTGTTACCTGCGGGCAACTACAGAATTTTCTGCCATCAAGATTCGCAATACCTCTCATCAGCTCGTCGGTTTTGCTGATGATGTTACGGGTTTGGTGAACAATCTCTCCCATGCTCCCAAGTTTCCGGATCGTGTCCAAGATTTCTGTGCCGACACTGGCATGCGGCTTAATGTGGACAAGACGGTCATCTTTACCTTTCGGCCATGGACTTCTTCGGACATCAACCTTCGAGATCGGCTTCGGGATTTGGGCGTTCAAATTATCACGAATGACGAACACACTACACTATTAGGCGTTACGGTTGGGCCAGCTGTTACGCCACAACTGCAACTTTCCCAGCTTCTTGCTCGGGTGCAGAAGCTCTGTGTGTCTTGGCGTTGGCGTGCTCGTACCCTGAGGGGTCGAGTGCTTATTCTCAAGACCATGATTCTTTCGACACTCTAGCATTTTTTGGGTACTGTGGCTGTGTCGAAGAAAGATCTGCTTAAGTTCAATCCGCTTATGTGGAACTTCATCAATTTTACCCCATCAAGTACGGTGACCGACCCAGCTTCAAGGAGTCAATTTCCGAGCGCTTGGCACCCAGTGGATGCATTTTCGGGCGGCCTTGAGCTACCTTCGATTGCGACTTCGGTGGAACTCCATCAAGTTAATCTCGTCCGGCAGTCGATTCGTCAAAGCCGTCAAGACTATTCCACTCCGTTCAAGTGGTTTGTTCCCGCTCAAGCTGCGATTGACTCGGCTTTCGGCGGTCAAGGTTCGGGTTTGGATTTTCTCTACATCCCGCTTTCGCCTTTGGCTCAATCTTCTCGCTGGCACGCCATTACCGACTACTGGAAAGCTGCTATTGCTACTTGGAGCACCAAGATTTTTCCTAAGCTTCAGTTTATGAACCCAGTTTTGACCAATCTTACGTGGCCGATTTGGAATAATTTGTTGATTCGGTTTACGGAGGACAAGCGGAAACTTGCAGTGCTCCATCAGAAGGCCTGCAAGTCTCTCAGTCATCAAGATGTTACAAGGATATTAACTTTTCTCTCCGTTTTTGGCTCGCTTCCGGATGAAGATACTCTTCGGATTTCTTTGGCTTCCTCTTCGATCAAGCCGTGCCGCTCGGTGACTTCTGTGGTACAAAAGCTGGCTTCGCGACTTGCTTTATCCGCACACTATCAAGATTTCGCGATGTTTCCGCTGCCACCTGAAAGGATGGTCGGCGCACTTCATGTATGTACTTTCTATGGTGTTGACATTGCCTCAGTGTCATACCGGGTCATCAAGCGTCTTTTGCTTGATCAAGAGCCGCCGCCCCTTCCACTTCTTCAGCTCTCGGTTCCTGAAGTGGTTATTGGGTCTTCACATTGGGCGCTCGAACGGCTGCTCCAACGCGATGTTCTGCCAGTCTATTCTGACTTCGTCTTTTGGCTCCAGCATAATGGACTTAGTTTCCGGTACAAGTACCATTGGCACACGGCGGACGTTCATTGTGTGCACGGTTGTGTTACTCCGGAAACACCCCATCATTTACTATGGGATTGCTATATGGCCAAGCGTCTGTGGCTATTATTTCTTCCCCCGTTTTCACGAATTTTCCAGTCTACGATCGGCTGGCCCCATGTTTTGTCGCTGCTTCACTTGGACATTCCGGTGCGTCGCCAAGATCTGTTTGGCTCACTACCTCCGGTTCGACTCTTCAACATGGTCCGCATTGTTATTTTACGGACGCTTAAGCTCAATAGCAACAAGGCGATTTTCGACCCCCCTGCTCTACAATTTATGGGTATCTTCCGTCAATGTCTGACCATGGTTCGTCTTCATCTTCAGCATTTCTTCATGACGATGAAGCACCCGCAATAGAAGGACATCATTCGACTCAAGGCTCAACTTCTTGCTTTCAGTGATGAATGGTATCGCGACTTTTCCGAAGATTCCTACTATCTTCTTGCGGAATAACCTCAAGATTTTCAAGGATCTTCCCAGTCTTTTCCAGCTGTTCAAGCTGCAGTTTTTCTTTGCGGAATAACTTCAAGATTTTCAAGGATTTTCCCAGTCTTTTCCAGCTATTCAAGCTGCAGTTTTTCTTTGCGGAAAAACTTCAAGATTTTCAAGGATTTTCCCAGTCTTTTCAAGCTATTCAAGCTGCAGTTTTTCTTTGCGGAATAACTTCAAGATTTTCAAGGATTTTCCCAGTCTTTTCCAGCTGTTCAAGCTGCAGTTTTTCTTTGCGGAAGAACTTCAAGATTTCCGAGACTTTTGTCGTTACTAGCTATTTATCTTGCAGAATGGCTTCATGACATTCAAGTTTCTCATTTTCTTTTCAAGCCGTTCAACTTGCTGTTGTACTTCAAGATGGACTACCCAATCGTTCCGCTTGAGTGCGACACTTCCGCCTGCTACGGAGCCGCTACTTCCGACTTTTACTTCGATTTTTTTCTTTTGGAGTTCGAATTGCGCCGCGCCCATTAATTCATATTTGCCTATGTCCTTTTAGGACTTACACTTTCTCTTTAGGTAGAGCCAACCCTTTTCAAAGTATAATGATACGTGTTCTACCAGACTTGCCCTCCGGTTCTCAATTTGCCTTCTACTGCACACTCGTTCAGAAAAAGGCCCACCCTTAACACCCCACCCCTCCCACCCCGTCCTCGTCCCGCTCCCTCCCCCCCCCTCTCTCTCCTGTTTTCTTCTCTTGAAGGCGTCCCGTTGGGTGCTCGTCCCCCCCCCCCCCCCCCCCCCCCCGCCCTGGGCAGCGCCCGGAGACCCCCCCCCCCCCCCTGGAGCGCCCCCCCGTTTTTTTTTTCCCCCCCTTTTTTTTAGTCTATCGCGTCTCTTCTTTCTACTTCCTTGTTGTTGTCTGATACCTATTGCTTATTGCGGCTGGTGGAGAGACCGTAAGAACTTCCATTCAAGGGGTTTACAACTTGCGTCGTTCTAAGTTACAGGACTGCAGTTGCGTTGCGCCGTGTATTAAGGTACACTTAGCGCTACATAGCTTCCGGTAGAGACTCTCTTTACTTTGCGTGGGAAGAAGCCCCCATAGTTAAGTTTGCCCCTCTTACCGCAGACAGTCATCCGCGTAGACGACTTTAGTCGGGAGTTGTTAGTACTCATGGTGAACCCACGCATTACACCCCGACGCACTGAGTTCCCCCGTCTGCTACCGGCGGACTCTTTGCTTGAGACTAGTGAATCCGAACTAGCTCTCAGTAACTTAGACGCTTTGCGTCTTAATGCTTTAAAACTTGCCCCTACGTCAACTAGTGCGGCGGAGCTGCATCGCATGTGGATTCCATGCCCTCATGCGATCAAGCGCAAGCACCTTTCCGAGGTACTCGATGAGCTTGCGAAAGACGACCAACCACAGTTGTGGAATGACGCACGTCAGGCTCGTCTTCTTCGAGACTTTAAGCTGATCCCTAATTCGGGGATCCGTTTGACGTGCACGGCCTACGACACTGCTTCTAAACTCAGTTTGGTCAAGCTTAATGCGTTTGGTCCCCAAATCCAAATCGCACGGTTTTCGAAGTACGGTTCTCGTTACTACGTTGATCTGGTCCGTCTGCCTGACGAAGTCACGGACCGCGTGATTTTTGATTGGTTTGCGGAACATGGTGCACCTCCGACGTGTGTCCTACCCACGTTCGTGCGAAACGGTCTTCCATCGCGCGAACGTACCGTTTATTTTGGGCAAGATCAGGAGCTTTCTGTCTTGGACCCTTCTCAAGACAATCCTCTTCGTGAGATTGAATTTTCATCGCCGGACGACGGCATGGTCAAGCTTCGTGCGTGTTTCGTCAACCACGAAGTGGCAAGTTACAACCGTGTAACGCCTCCGTCAATTCGTCTACGTCAAGAGGCAGATGCCGCGCGCAAGGCGACTGAATCTGCGGCGTCTTCACCATCTAGTTTGTTCTCACCATCTGGTGCTCCTATTCCTTCTGATCCCAAGGGACATGTATCGTCTCTTCGGAAATCGATTTTCTGCACGACACCTGATTTACCAGCGGATTCTCCACTTGATTCTTCACTGGATTTAAAAGCTGATTCTTCAGGCTCTCCCGTTGCACCTTCGGATCAAGACACCTCTCCTACTGATGACGTCGCCATGAATGGGTTGGACAAGGCCCGCCTTCAGTTCAACCAAGATTTACTTTCACGATATCAAGTCGTCGCTTTTCAAGAAACCAAGCTTTCAAGTTAACAGTTGATACAAGATAACGACTATTGTCTGCATGCAGCGGATGCCCATGCCCGCTCGTTTTGGTCGCATTCCACTTCGACCGAGTTTGGGCTTCGCAACAGTGTCGCTCTGCTTTTTAATGGAGCACACCCTTTTCACGGTATTAGGCAATCGGTATTTGGTGGTTTCTACCAATTTGTTTCCGATTCAAATTTATTTTCATGTGGTCGATGGACCTGTTCGATCTGAAGATTAAGCCATCTTCTATTCAAGTTTATCAAGATCTTGAGATACTCGGCGGTCCATTTAGTCACGGGTGATTTCAATATGACAATGGACCCATCACTGGACCAAGCTACGCCTGGATCTACTTTTCACGACGCTGGTCGTGCTGAGCTTTTCGACTGGATGATTAGCCTCGGCCTCATCGACTTTTGGTGACTCGATAACCCCGATCTGCGTGTGTTTACGGGTCCCAAGTCCAAGAATCGCATCGACTACTGCTTGGCTAGTATCGATGTTTACGACAAGTTTGTTCCTTCTCTTCCTCTTTTTGGTGGGGGGGGGGGGGGCGCGGGGAACCGCATATTCTTGTTCTTTCCTCCTCCCCACCCCCCAACACCCCAAAACCACTCAAATCCCCCTGTGCGCCCCTCGTGTGCTAGCGCGGCAAAACCAAAAACCACCCAACCCGCCAAGCTCTGCCTCGGGTTTGGTTGATGGGGGAGAAAAAAGAGAATATGTTGTGGTTTTGGGAAGAAGGGGAGAGGGGTTTGTCTTTGTTAATTTTAAAGAAGGGGGAAGGGGGAAGGGAGGCAGAGAGCCCCCCCCGCCCCCCCCCCCCCGGGGGGGGGGGGGGGAGGGAGTTTTCTTTGGGTATAGGGGGGGAACCACGCGGGCTCAAGGGGGGCGGGCCCGCCAAGCTTATTTGGACTTTTCAATGGCTCTTCGCGACCGCAACGCCGCCTCCAAGTTTGATCTGGATGTTAGTTCGGGTGAACAATCTACTAAACATTTTTTTCGGGCTCCCGCTGCGGCGGAACTCAAGCTGTCCATATCGTATGTCAACACGTCTTCAGGGTTGTCAAGGGACCTGTCTATGATTCTTTCGACTCATCGTCGATATTGGGGCACCGTTTTTCAATCGGAATCCCGCAATTTGGAGGTCGTTTCCCAGCAATTCGACCCTTCCAAATTTCAAGATATTCTTCAACACAGCCATCGGAAGCTCAAGTCAACTCACGCCGCCCTTCTCGACGCGCCGATTACGGCTAATGATTTTTTCCACGCTATGAAGCATACCGCTCGTGGGAAGTCGCCGGGTTCAGATGGACTACCTGCGGAGTACTACCAGCTTTTTCCTGCCAAGTGGGCTCAAGTCTTGGAGCTTGTTTATGCGGCTCAATTCCGGCTAGGTTGCATGTCCAAGTTTCAACGCCGCGCCTACATCTCTCTACTCTTTAAGAAGGGATCAAGATCGGACCCCAAGAACTATCGGCCCTTGACTTTGCTGAATCAAGATGCCAAGTTCTGCCCGAAAAGAATTGGCTTATCTCCTTAACTAAGTTTTGCCCAGTGTACTGGAGGTGGATCCATTTGGCTTCGTGTCTGGACGTGACATCCGGCACGCGCTTCGATATTTTCATGACCTTCAAGATCACTGCCGATGGAAGAATTCACAAGATCCCGCCAGCGCTATTTGCCTCGACTTTGCCAAAGCTTTTGATAGTGTAAACTGGCAAGCCTTGGATCAAGTTTTTCAGCATTGGGGATTTAGGTTCAGTTTCCGCTATTGGGTAAAGACCTTTTTTCGGGGTTCACTGTTCCAAGTTTTAATTAATTCTTCACGCTCGGACTTCTTCAGCTTGGGTGCCGGCGTTCGTCATGGGGATCCACTATCACCCGGTCTATTTGTGCTCTTTATTGAGCCTTTGCTGTGTTACCTGCGGGCAACTACAGAATTTTCTGCCATCAAGATTCGCAATACCTCTCATCAGCTCGTCGGTTTTGCTGATGATGTTACGGGTTTGGTGAACAATATCTCCCATGCTCCCAATTTTCCGGATCGTGTCCAAGATTTCTGTGCCGACACTGGCATGCGGCTTAATGTGGACAAGACGGTCATCTTTACCTTTCGGCCATGGACTTCTTCGGACATCAACCTTCGAGATCGGCTTCGGGATTTGGGCGTTCAAATTATCACGAATGACGAACACACTACACTATTAGGCGTTACGGTTGGGCCAGCTGTTACGCCACAACTGCAACTTTCCCAGCTTCTTGTTCGGGTGCAGAAGCTCTGTGTGTCTTGGCGTTGGCGTGCTCGTACCCTAAGGGGTCGAGTGCTTATTCTCAAGACCATGATTCTTTCGACACTCTAGCATTTTTTGGGTACTGTGGCTGTGTCGAAGAAAGATCTGCTTAAGTTCAATCCGCTTATGTGGAACTTCATCAATTGTACCCCATCAAGTACGGTGACCGACCCAGCTTCAAGGAGTTAATTTCCAAGCGCTTGGCACCCAGTGGATGCATTTTCGGGCGGTCTTGAGCTACCTTCAATTGCGACTTCGGTGGAACTCCATCAAGTTAATCTCGTCCGGCAGTCAATTCGTCAAAGCCGTCACGACTATTCCACTCCGCCCAAATGGTTATTCCTGCTCAAGCTGCGATTGACTCGGTTTTCGGCGGTCAAGGTTCGGGTTTGGATTTTCTCTGTATTCCGCTTTCGCCTTTGGCTCAATCTTCTCGCTGGCACGCCATTCTCGACTACTGGAAGGCTGCTATTGCTACTTGGAGCACCAAGATTTTTCCTAAGCTTCAATTTACGAACCCAGTTTTGACCAATCTTACGTGGCCGATTTGGAATAATTTGTTGATTTGGTTTACGGAGGACAAGCGGAAACTTGCACTGCTCCATCAGAAGGCCTGCAAGTCTCTCAGTCATCAAGGTGTTACAAGGATTTTGACTTTTCTCTCCGTTTTTGGCTCGCTTCCGGATGAAGATACTCTTCGGATTTCTTTGGCTTCCTCTTCGATCAAGCCGGGCCGCTCGATGACTTCTGTGGTACAAAAGCTGGCTTCGCGACTTGCTTTATCCGCACACTATCAAGATTTCGCGATGTTTCCGCTGCCACCTGAAAGGATGGTCGGCGCACTTCATGTATGGACTTTCTATGGTGTTGACATTGCCTCAGTGTCATACCGGGTCATCAAGCGTCTTTTGCTTGATCAAGAGCCGCCGCCCCTTCCACTTCTTCAGCTCTCGGTTCCTGAAGTGGTTATTGGGTCTTCACATTGGGCGCTCGAACGGCTGCTCCAACGCGATGTTCTGCCAGTCTATTCTGACTTCGTCTTTTGGCTCCAGCATAATGGACTTGGTTTCCGGTACAAGTACCATTGGCACACGGCGGACGTTCATTGTGTGCACGGTTGTGTTACTCCGGAAACACCCCATCATTTACTATGGGATTGCTATATGGCCAAGCGTCTGTGGCTATTATTTCTTCCCCCGTTTTCACGAATTTTCCAGTCTACGATCGGCTGGCCCCATGTTTTGTCGCTGCTTCACTTGGACATTCCGGTGCGTCGCCAAGATCTGTTTGGCTCGCTACCTCCGGTTCGACTCTTCAACATGGTCCGCATTGTTATTTTACGGACGCTTAAGCTCAATAGCAACAAGGCGATTTTCGACCCCCCTGCTCTACAATTTATGGGTATCTTCCGTCAATGTCTGACCATGGTTCGTCTTCATCTTCAGCGTTTTTTCAAGACGATGAAGCACCCGCAATAGAAGGACAACATTCGACTCAAGGCTCAGCTTCTTGCTTTCAGTGATGAATGGTACCGCGACTTTTCCGAAGATTCCTACTATCTTCTTGCGGAAGAACTTCAAGATTTTCAAGGATTTTCCCAGTCTTTTCAAGCTATTCAAGCTGCAGTTTTTCTTTGCGGAATAGCTTCAAGATTTTCAAGGATTTTCCCAGTCCTTTCCAGCTATTCAAGTTGCGGTTTTCTTTGCGGAATAACTTCAAGATTTTCAAGGATTTTCCCAGTCCTTTCCAGCTATTCAAGTTGCGGTTTTCTTTGCGGAATAACTTCAAGATTTTCAAGGATTTTCCCAGTCTTTTCCAGCTATTCAAGCTGCAGTTTTCTTTGCAGAATAACCTCAAGATTTTCAAGGATTTTCCCAGTCTTTTCCAGCTATTCAAGTTGCGGTTTTCTTTGCGGAATAACTTCAAGATATTCAAGGATTTTCCCAGTCTTTTCCAGCTATTCAAGCTGCAGTTTTCTTTGCAGAATAACCTCAAGATTTTCAAGGATTTTCCCAGTCCTATCCAGCTATTCAAGCTGCGGTTTTTCTTTGCGGAATAACCTCAAGATTTTCAAGGATTTCCCAGTCTTTTCAAGCTATTCAAGTTGCGGTTTTTCTTAGCGGAATAACTTCAAGATTTTCAGAGTTTTTCCCAGTCTTTTCAAGCTATTCAAGCTGCAGTTTTTCTTTGCGGAATAACTTCAAGATTTTCAAGGATTTTCCCAGTCTTTTTAGCTATTCAAGCTGCAGTTTTTGTTTGCGGAATATCTTCCAGATTTTCTAGGATTTTCCCAGTCTTTTCAAGCTATTCAAGCTGCAGTTTTTCTTTGCGGAATGACTTCAAGATTTTCAAGGATTTTCCCAGTCTTTTCAAGCTGTTCAAGCTGCAGTTTTTCTTTGCGGAAGAACTTCAAGATTTCCAAGACTTTTGTCTTTACTAGCTATTTACCTTGCAGAATGGCTTCATGACATTCAAGTTTCCACTTGTCTTTTCAAGCCGTTCAAGTTGCTGTTGTACTTCAAGATGGACTACCCAATCGCTCCGCTTAAGTGCGACACTTCTGGCTGCTACGGAGCCGCTACTTCTGACTTTTACTTCGATTTTTTCTTTCGGAGTTCGAATTGCGCCGCGCCCATTATATCATATTTGCCTATGTCCTTTTAGGACTTACACTTTCTCTTTAGGTAGAGCCAACCCTTTTCAAAGTATAATGATACGTATTCTACCAGACTTGCCCTCAAGTTCTCAATTTGCCTTCTACTGCACATTCGTTCAGAAAAAGGCCCACCCTTGCGACACTGTTCAAGCCCGTTTTTGTTCGTTGTCCTCTCTCTCCAAGTCCTGCGCTCTCGGTTTCTTTTCTTCGAAGACGTCTCCGTTGCGCTCGTCTTGCCGCCACCCCGTCGCCGCCTACGTTCTCGGTAGCTCGCTGAGCTACTCGTCTTCTTCAGTGGCAACGCCCTTGTTTGCTTTTGCTCCCTCTATTGTTAGTCTATCGCGTCTCTTCTTTCTACTTCCTTGTTGTTGTCTGATACCTATTGCTTATTGCGGCTGGTGGAGAGACCGTAAGAACTTCCATTCAAGGGGTTTACAACTTGCGTCGTTCTAAGTTACAGGACTGCAGTTGCGTTGCGCCGTGTATTAAGGTACACTTAGCACTTCATAGCTTCCGGTAGAGACTCTCTTTACTTTGCGTGGGAAGAAGCCCCCAGAGTTTAAGTTTGCCCCTCTTACCGCAGACAGTCATCCGCGTAGACGACTTTAGTCGGGAGTTGTTAGTACTCATGGTGAACCCACGCATTACACCCCGACGCACTGAGTTCCCCCGTCAGGTACCGGCGGACTCTTTGCTTGAGACTAGTGAATCCGAACTAGCTCTCAGTAACTTAGACGCTTTGCGTCTTAATGCTCTAAAACTTGCTCCTACGCCAACTAGTGCGGCGGAGCTGCATCGCATGTGGATTCCATGCCCTCATGCGATCAAGCGCAAGCACCTTGCCGAGGTACTCGATGAGCTTGCGAAAGACGACCAACCACAGTTGTGGAAGGACGCACGTCAGGCTCGTCTTCTTCAAGATTTTAAGATGATCCCTAATTCGGGGATCCTTTTTACGTGCACGGCCTACGACACTGCTTCTAAACTCAGTTTGGTCAAGCTAAATGCGTTTGATTCCCAAATCCAAGTCGCACGGTTTTCGAAGTACGGTTCTCGTTACTACGTTGATCTGGTCCGTCTGCCTGACGAAGTCACGGACCGCGTGATTTTTGATTGGTTTGCGGAACATGGTGCACCTCCGACGTGTGTCCTACCCACGTTCGTGTGAAACGGTCTTCCATCGCGCGAACGTACCGTTTCTATTGGTCGAGATCAGGCGCCTTCTGTCTTGGACCCTTCTCAAGACAATCCTCTTCGTGAGATTGAATTTTCATCGCCGGACGACGGCATGGTCAGGCTTCGTGCGTGTTTCGTCAACCACAAAGTGGCACGTTACAACCGTGTAACGCCTCCTTCAATTCGTCTACGTCAAGAGGCAGATGACGCGCGCAAGGCGTCTGAATCTGCGGCGTCTTCACCATCTAGTTTGTTCTCACCATCCGGTGCGCCTATTCCTTCTGATCCCAAGGGATATGTACCGTCTCTTCGGGAACCGATACGCCGCACGCCACCTGATTTACCAGCGGATTCTCCACTTGATTCTTCACTGGATTTACAAGCTGATTCTTCAGGATCTCCCGTTGCGCCTTCGGATCATGACACCTCTCGTACTGATGACGTTGCCATGTCAGATGACGGCGTTGGGTCGACTTTGGGTGATGCTGTCGACGAATCTGTTTCGGACCCCTCCGACTTCAACTTGGAGGCATTTTTGGGTGAAGTTATCAATGCCCCCAAGATTAATCCTGGTCCACCGCTATGGACGAAAGCGGGTACCAATCGTCAGGCTCTTTACGGTCGATCTGGCGCTGATCTGGTTGAAGCCAAGTCGATCAAGTATGACTTTAACGCTGAAGCTAGTACAGCTCAAGCGACTGGCCTCGTCAAACCAAATTACTACCATTCGCTATGGTTCGAGGACGCTGACCCGGACGTCGCTCAATGGCAGTACGATCTCGAAGTTCGTTAAGAGGAAGGCAACGAGACTTGTATGGAGTGTGGTCAAGTTGATGCCGACAAGAAGACCTACATCTCCATCGTAGCCCCATACACTATTGGCTATGAAGTTGAGAGTATGACACGACTTGAACTCACCAAGCGCGTGGACTCTTTTCTAAAAGACCTCAGTTACCGTACCCCGCTCGAACAATTGGATACGGTTGAGGCTAACCCGGGACTTATGCTCCCGGCTATGGCGTCTAAAGATCGCCTAGACACTCTCGCCCATTACCGAAGTGTCTGTCGTCTTTTGGCTCACACTCGTCCTGGTACGAGTGTGGCTCAGTCGCAATGTTCAAGGGTTCTTCATGAGACGGGCAAGGCAAAGACCATGCTCAAAAACCTTTTGGGTCATGGGCCTCCAATTTTGGCTCAAGACAAGAAGGCTCTTTTTGCTCCTTCAAGCTGGGATTTGGTTCTTCATATTATGGCACCGACGGTATATCATGACCCTATCAAGCTGTTCGTCCTCATGGGTACTATCCCGGACTTTCCCTTCGATTTGAAGGTTCCGCTGCTTTCGGATAACACTCTTTGACTGCTCGGTTTCAGCTCTTTCGCGAAAGACCTTTTGCAGTACGAGACTGTGCCCGAATCTTTGAAGTCTTTGGTTCAGGCTGTCCAAGCATTGAAATCTAATGCGAAAGGGTCCCCAAGTCATCGCCTTCATTTTTGGGCAGGAGGCATGGGCCTTCAAGGCGGTTTCACTCAATGTGAATGGGTTGAACAAGCCCCGCCTTCAGTTCTACCAAGATTTACTTTCACAATATCAAGTCGTCGCTTTTCAAGAAACCAAGCTTTCAAGTCAACAGTTGATACAAGATAACGACTACTTTCTGCATGCCGCGGGTGCCCATGCCCGCTCGTTTTGGTCGCATTCCACTTCGACCGAGTTGGGCTTCGCAACGGTGTCGCTCTGCTTTTTAATGGAGCACACCCCTTTTCAAGATCTTCGGGACGATTCTGCGCTTTTTGCCAATACTGCGGAATTAGGCAATCGGTATTTGGTGGTTTCTGCCAATTTGCGTCCAATTCAAATTTATTTTCATGTGATCGATGGACCTGTTCGATCCGAAGATCGAGCTATCTTCTGTTCAAGTTTATCAAGATCTTGAGATACTAGACGGTTCATTTAGTCACGGGTGATTTCAATATGACAATGGACCCATCACTGGACCAAGCTACGCCTGGATCTACTTTTCACGACGCTGGTCGTGCTGAGCTTTTCGACTGGATGATTAGCCTCGGCCTCATCGACTTTTGGTGACTCGAAAACCCCGATCTGCGTGTGTTTACGGGTCCCAAGTCCAAGAATCGCATCGACTACTGCTTGGCTAGTATCGAGTTTTACGACAAGTTTGTTCGTTCGTCTTCTCATCTTTTGGGTACCAAGTTTGGGGGCGCGGATCATGTACCAGCGGAATTTTCTGCGTCGTCACATTCACCAACCCCAAGTAATTCACAACCATTCAAGTGCCCGACTTGGCTTCTCAAGTGCGACCAAGTTCAAGATCAACTGTCCCGTAACCTTCAACGTTTGGCTTCAGTATTGGATCCAAGCAAAAATCCTGGGTGTCTTTTGGATGAGCACAAACGGCGCGATCGAATGTTTCTTTGTCAAGAATTTATTAGGCGGAAGGATGCTACTGCAAGTCAACTCCGGCACCTTCTTACGGCTTCACGAGAATGCGAGAAACGTTTCTCTATGGATCCAAGTGATTACACTCGGCTTCAACGTGATTAGTCCCGTCAAGCCTATTTGGACTTTTCAATGGCTCTTCGCGACCGGAACGCCGCTTCCAAGTTTGATCTGGATGTTAGTTCGGGTGAACAATCTACTAAACATTTTTTTCGGGCTCCAGCTGCGGCGGAACTCAAGCTGTCCATATCGTCTGTCAACACGTCTTCAGGGTTGTCAAGGGACCCGTCCATGATTCTTTCGACTCATCGTCGATATTGGGGCACCGTTTTTCAATCGAACTCCCGCGATTTGGAGGTCGTTTCCCAGCAATTCGACCCTTCCAAATTTCAAGATATTCTTCAACACATCCATCGGAAGCTCAAGTCAACTCACGCCGCCCTTCTCGACGCGCCGATTACGGCTAATGATTTTTTCCACGCTATGAAGCATACCGATCGTGGGAAGTCTCCAGGTCCAGATGGACTACCTGCGGAGTACTACCAGCTTTTTCCTGCCAAGTGGGCTCAAGTCTTGGAGCTTGTTTATGCGGCTCAATTCCGGCTAGGTTGCATGTCCAAGTTTCAACGCCGCGTCTCGCTACTCTTTAAGAAGGGATCAAGATTGGAACCCAAGAACTATCGGCCCTTGACCTTGCCGAATCAAGATGCCAAGTTCGGCCCAAAAAGCATTGGCTTATTGCCTTAACTAAGTTTTGCCCAGTGTACTGGAGGTGGATCCATTTGGATTCGTGCCTGGACGTGACATCCGGCACGCACTTCGATATTTTCATGACCTTCAAATCACTGCCGATGGAAGAATTCACAAGATCCCGCCAGCGTTAGTTGCCTCGACTTTGCCAAAGCTTTTGATAGTGTCAACTGGCAAGCCTTGGATCAAGTTCTTCAGCATTGGGGATTTGGGCTCAATTTCCGCCATTGGGTGAAGACCTTTTGTCGGGGTTCACTGTTCCAAGTTTTAATTAATTCTTCACGCTCGGACTTCTTCAGCTTGGGTGCCGGCGTTCGTCATGGGGATCCACTATCGCCCGGTCTATTTGTGCTCTTTATTGAGCCTTTGCTGTGTTACCTGCGGGCAACTACAGAATTTTCTGCCATCAAGATTCGCAATACCTCCCATCAGCTCGTCAGTTTTGCTGATGATGTTACGGGTTTGGTGAACGATCTCTCCCATGCTCCCAAGTTTCTGGATCGTGTCCAAGATTTCTGTGCCGACACTGGCATGTGGCTTAATGTGGACAAGACGGTCATCTTTACCTTTCGGCCATGGACTTCTTCGGACATCAACCTTCGAGATCGGCTTCGGGATTTGGGCGTTCAAATTATCACGAATGACGAACACACTACACTATTAGGCGTTACGGTTGGGCCAGCTGTTACGCCACAACTGCAACTTTCCCAGCTTCTTGCTCGGGTGCAGAAGCTCTGTGTGCCTTGGCGTTGGCGTGCTCGTACCCTAAGGGGTCGAGTGCTTATTCTCAATACCATGATTCTTTCGACACTATGGCATTTTTTGGGTAATGTGGCCGTGTCGAAAAAAGATCTGCTCAAGTTCAATCCGCTTATGTGGAACTTCATCAATTGTACCCCAGCGGAAACTTGCACTGCTCCATCAGAAGGCCTGCAAGTCTCTCAGTCATCAAGATGCTACAAGGATATTGACTTTCTCTCCGTTTTTGGCTCGCTTCCGGATGAAGATACTCTTCGGATTTCTTTGGCTTCCTCTTCGATCACGCCGGGCCGCTCGATGACTTCTGTGGTCCAAAGCTGGTTCCACGACTTGCTTTACCCGCACACTCTCAAGATTTCGCGATATTTCCGCTGCCGCCTGATAGGATGGTCGGCGCACTTCATGTATGGACTTTCTATGGTGTTTACATTGCCACAGTGTCATACCGGGTCATCAAGCGTCTGTTGCTTGATAAAGAGCCGCCGCCCCTTCCACTTCTTCAGCTCTCGGTTCCTGAAGTGGTTATTGGGTCTTCACATTGGGCGCTCGAACGGCTGCTCCAACGCGATGTTCTGCCAGTCTATTCTGACTTCGTCTTTTGGCTCCAGCATAATGGACTTGGTTTCCGGTACAAGTACCATTGGCACACGGCGGACGTTCGTTGTGTGCACGGTTGTGTTACTCCGGAAACACCCCATCATTTACTATGGGATTGCTATATGGCCAAGCGTCTGTGGCTATTATTTCTTCCCCCGTTTTCACGAATTTTTCAGTCTACGATCGGCTGGCCCCATGTTTTGTCGCTGCTTCACTTGGACATTCCGGTGCGTCGCCAAGATCTGTTTGGCTCGCTACCTCCGGTTCGACTCTTCAACATGGTCCGCATTGTTATTTTGCGGACGCTTAAGCTCAATAGCAACATGGCGATTTTCGACCCCCCCCCTGCTCTACAATTTATGGGTGTCTTCCGTCAATGTCTGACCATGGTTCGTCTTCATCTTCAGCGTTTTTTTTCAAGACGATGATGTACACGAGAAAGAAGGACAACATTCGACTCAAGGCTCAGCTTCTTGCTTTCAGTGATGAATGGTATCGCGACTTTTCCGAAGATTCCTACTATCTTCTTGCGGAATAACTTCAAGATTTTCAAGGATTTTCCCAGTCTTTTCAAGCTATTCAAGCTGCAGTTTTTCTTTGCGGAATAACTTCAAGATTTCCAAGGATTTTCCCAGTCTTTTCCAGCTGTTCAAGCTGCAGTTTTTCTTTGCGGAAGAACTTCAAGATTTCCAAGACTTTTGTCTTTACTAGCTATTTACTTTGCAGAATGGCTTCATGACATTCAAGTTTCCACTTGTCTTTTCAAGCCGTTCAAGTTGCTGTTGTACTTCAAGATGGACTAACCAATCGTTCCGCTTAAGTGCGACACTTCTGGCTGCTACGGAGCCGCTACTTCTGACTTTTACTTCGATTTTTTCTTTCGGAGTTCGAATTGCGCCGCGCCCATTATTTCATATTTGCCTATGTCCTTTTAGGACTTACACTTTCTCTTTAGGTAGAGCCAACCCTTTTCAAAGTATAATGATACGTATTCTACCAGACTTGCCCTCCGGTTCTCAATTTGCCTTCTACTGCACACTCGTTCAGAAAAGGCCCACCCTTACGACACCGTTCAAGCCCGTCTTTGTCCGTTTTCTTCTCGCTCCAAGTCTCTCACTCTCGGTTTCTTCTCTTCGAAGACGTCTCCGTTGCGCTCGTCTTGCCGCCACCCCGTCGCCGCCTACGTTCTCGGTATCTCGCTGAGCTACTCGTCTTCTTCAGTGATAACACCTTTGTTTACTTTTGCTCCCTCTATTGTTAGTCTATCGCGTCTCTGCTTTCTGCTTACTTGTTGTTGTTTGATGCCTACTGCTTATTGCGGCTGGTGGAGAGACCGTAAGAACTTCAATTCAAGGGGTTTACAACTTGGTCGTTCTAAGTTAGAGGACTGCAGTTGCGTTGCGCCGTGTATTAAGGTACACTTAGCACTTCATAGCTTCCGGTAGAGACTCTCTTTGCTTTGCGTGGAAAGAATCCCTCAGAGTTTAAGTTTGCCTCTCTTACCGCAGACAGTCATCCGCGTAGACGACTTTAGTCGGGAGTTGTTAGTACTCATGGTGAACCCACGCATTACACCTCGACGCACTGAGTTCCCCCGTCAGGTACCGGCGGACTCTTTGCTTGAGACTAGTGAATCGGAACTAGCACTCAGTAACTTAGACGCTTTGCGTCTTAATGCTTTAAAACTTGCCCCTACGCCAACTAGTGCGGAGGAGCTGCATCGCATGTGTATTCCTCGCCCTCATGCGATAGAGCGCAAGCACCTTGCCGAGGTACTCGATGAGCTTGCGAAAGACGACCAACCACAGTTGTGGAAGGACGCACGTCAGGCTCGTCTTCTTCAAGATTTTAAGCTGATCCCTAATGCAGGGATCCTTTTTACGTGCACGGCCTACGACACTGCTTCTAAACTCAGTTTGGTCAAGCTAAATGCGTTTGGTTCCCAAATCCAAGTCGCACGGTTTTCGAAGTGCGGTTCTCGTTACTACGTTGATCTGGTCCGTCTGCCTGACGAAGTCACGGACCGCGTGATTTTTGATTGGTTTGCGGAACATGATGCACCTCCGACGTGTGTCCTAACCACGTTCGTGCGAAACGGTCTTCCATCGCGCGAACGTACCGTTTATTTTGGGCAAGATCAGGAGCTTTCTGTCGTGGTCCCTTCTCAAGACAATCCTCTTCGTGAGATTGAATTTTCATCGCCGGACGACGGCATGGTCAAGTTTCGTGCGTGTTCGTCAACCACAAAGTGGCACGTTACAACCGTGTAACGCCTCCGTCAATTCGTATACGTCAAGAGGCAGATGCCGCGCGCAAGGCGACTGAATCTGCGGCGTCTTCACCATCTGGTCCGTCTCACCATCCGGTGCGCCTATCCCTTCTGATCCCAAGGGATATGTATTGTCTCTTCGAGAACCGATACGCCGCACGCCACCTGATTTACCAGCGGATTCTCCGCTTGATTCTTCACTGGATTTACAAGCTGATTCTTCAGGCTCTCCGGTTGCACCTTCGGATCAAGACACCTCTCGTACTGATGACGTCGCCATGAATGGGTTGAACAAGCCCCGCCTTCAGTTCTACCAAGATCTACTTTCACTATATCAAGTCGTCGCTTTTCAAGAAACCAAGCTTTCAAGTCAACAGTTGATACAAGATAACGACTATTTTCTGCATGCCGCGGATGCCCATGCCCGCTCGTTTTGGTCGCATTCCACTTCGACCGAGTTTGGGCTTCGCAATGGTGTCGCTATGCTTTTTAATGGAGCACACCCTTTTCACGGTATAAGGCAATCGGTATTTGGTGGTTTCTGCCAATTTGTGTCCGATTCGAATTTATTTTCATGTGATCGATGGACCTGTTCGATCTGAAGATCGAGCCATCTTCTATTCAAGTTTATCAAGATCTTGAGATACTCGGCGGTCCATTTAGTCATGGGTGTTTTCAATATGACAATGAACCCATCACTGGACCAAGCTACGCCTGGATCTACTTTTCACGACGCTGGTCGTGCTGAGCTTTCGACTGGATGATTAGTCTCGGCCTCATCGACTTTTGGCGACTCGAAAACCCCGATCTGCGTGAGTTTACGGGTCCCAAGTCCAAGAATCGCATCGACTACTGCTTGGCTATTATCGAGTTTTACGACAAGTTTTTATGAACAATCTACTAAACATTTTTGAGCTCCCGCTGCGGCGGAACTCAAGCTGTCCATATCGTTTGTCAACACGTCTTCAGGGTTGTCAAGGGAGCCGTCGATGGATCTTTCGACTCATCGTCGATATTGGGGCACCGTTTTTCAATCGAACTCCCGCGATTTGGAGGTCGTTTTCCAGCAACTCGACCCTTCCAAATTTCAAGATATTCTTCAACACAGCCATCGGAAGCTCAAGTCAACTCACGCCGCCCTTCTCGACGCGCCGATTACGGCTAATGATTTTTTCACGCTATGAAGCATACCGATCGTGGGAAGTCTCCAGGTCCAGATGGACTACCTGCGGAGTACTACCAGCTTTTTCCTGCCAAGTGGGCTCAAGTCTTGGAGCTTGTTTATGCGGCTCAATTCCGGCTAGGTCGCATGTCCAAGTTTCAACGCCGCGCCTACATCTCGCTACTCTTTAAGAAGGGATCAAGATTGGAACCCAAGAACTATCGGCCCTTGACTTTGCCGAATCAAGATGCCAAGTTCGGCCCAAAAAGCATTGGCTTATTGCCTTAACTTAGTTTTGCCCAGTTTACTGGAGGTGGATCCATTTGGCTTCGTGCCTGGACGTGACATCCGGCACGCGCTTCGATATTTTCATGACCTTCAAGATCACTGCCGATGGAAGAATTCACACGATCCCGCCAGCGCTATTTGCCTCGACTTTGCCAAAGCTTTTGATAGTGTCAACTGGCAAGCCTTGGATCAAGTTCTTCAACATTGGGGATTTAGGTTCAGTTTCCGCCATTGGGTAAAGACCTTTTGTCGGGGTTCACTGTTCCAAGTTTTAATTAATTCTTCGCGCTCGGACTTCTTCAGCTTGGGTGCCGGCGTTCGTCATGGGGATCCACTATCGCCCGGTCTATTTGTGCTCTTTATTGAGCCTTTGCTGTGTTACCTGCGGGCAACTACAGAATTTTCTGCCATCAAGATTCGCAATACCTCTCATCAGCTCGTCAGTTTTGCTGATGATGTTACGGGTTTGGTGAGCAATCTCTCCCATGCTCCCAATTTTCCGGATCGTGTCCAAGATTTCTGTGCCGACACTGGCATGTGGCTTAATGTGGACAAGACGGTCATCTTTACCTTTCGGCCATGGACTTCTTCGGACATCAACCTTTGAAATTGGCTTCGGGATTTGGGCGTTCAAATTCTCACAAATGACGAACACACTACACTATTAGGCGTTACGGTTGGGCCAGCTGTTACGCCACAACTGCAACTTTCCCAGCTTCTTGCTCGGGTGCAGAAGCTCTGTGTGTCTTGGCGTTGGCGTGCTCGTACCCTGAGGGGTCGAGTGCTTATTCTCAAGACCATGATTCTTTCGACACTCTAGCATTTTTTGGGTACTGTGGCTGTGTCGAAGAAAGATTTGCTCAAGTTCAATCCGCTTATGTGGAACTTCATCAATTGTACCCCATCAAGTACGGTGACCGAACCAGCTTCAAGGAGTTAATTTCCAAGCGCTTGGCACCCAGTGGATGCATTTTCGGGCGGTCTTGAGCTACCTTCAATTGCGACTTCGGTGGAACTCCATCAAGTTAATCTCGTCCGGCAGTCAATTCGTCAAAGCCGTCACGACTATTCCACTCCGCCCAAGTGGTTATTCCTGCTCAAGCTGCGATTGACTCGGTTTTCGGCGGTCAAGGTTCGGGTTTGGATTTTCTCTGTATTCCGCTTTCGCCTTTGGCTCAATCTTCTCGCCTGTACGCCATTCTCGACTACTGGAAGGCTGCTATTGCTACTTGGAGCACCAAGATTTTTTCTAAGCTTCAGTTTACGAACCCAGTTTTGACCAATCTTACGTGGCCGATTTGGAATAATTTGTTGATTCGGTTTACGGAGGACAAGCGGAAACTTGCAGTGCTCCATCAGAAGGCCTGCAAGTCTCTCATTCATCAAGGTGTTACAAGGATTTTGACTTTTCTCTCCGTTTTTGGCTCGCTTCCGGATGAAGATACTCTTCGGATTTCTTTGGCTTCCTCTTCGATCAAGCCGGGCCGCTCGATGACTTCTGTGGTCCAAAGCTGGTTCCACGACTTGCTTTACCCGCACACTATCAAGATTTCGCGATGTTTCCGCTGCCGCCTGATAGGATGGTCGGCGCACTTCATGTATGGACTTTCTATGGTGTTTACATTGCCACAGTGTCATACCGGGTCATCAAGCGTCTGTTGCTTGATAAAGAGCCGCCGCCCCTTCCACTTCTTCAGCTCTCGGTTCCTGAAGTGGTTATTGGGTCTTCACATTGGGCGCTCGAACGGCTGCTCCAACGCGATGTTCTGCCAGTCTATTCTGACTTCGTCTTTTGGCTCCAGCAATATGAACTTAGTTTCCGGTACAAGTACCAATGGCACACGGCGGAAGTTCATTGGGTTTACGGTTGCATTACCGAAGACGAAGCCAAAGAAATCCGAAGAGTATCTGCATCCGGAAGCGAGCCAAAAACGGAGAGAAAAGTCAAAATCCTTGTAACACCTTGATGACTGAGAGACTTGCAGGCCTTCTGATGGATCACTGCTAGTTTCCGCTTGTCCTCCGTAAACCGAATCAACAAATTATTCCAAATTTGCCACGTTGGCTTGGTCAAAACTGGGTGCATAAATTGAAGCTTGGGAAAATCTTGGTGCTCCAAGTAGCAATAGCAGCCTTCCAGTAGTCGAGAATGGCGTGCCAGCGAGAAGATTGAGCCAAAGGCGAAAGCGGAATATAGAGAAAATCCAAACCCGAACCTTGACCGCCGAAACCGAGTCAATCGCAGCTTGAGCAGGAACAAACCACTTGGACGGAGTGGAATAGTCGTGACAGCTTTGACGAATCGACTGCCGGACGAGATTAACTTGATGGAGTTCCACCGAAGTCGCAATCGAAGGTAACTCAAGGCCGCCTGAAATTGCATCCACTGGGTGCCAAGCGCTTGAAAATTAACTCCTTGAAGCTGGTTCGGTCACCGTACTTGATGGGGTACAATTGATGAAGTTCCGCATAAGCGGATTGAACTTGAGCAAATCTTTCTTCGACACAGCCACAGTACCCAAAAAATGCTAGAGTGTCGAAAGAATCATGGTCTTGAGAATAAGCAATTGACCCCGCAGATTACGAGCACGCCGAAGCCAAGACACATAGAGCTTCTGCACCCGAACAAGAAGCTGTGAAAGTTGCAGTTGTGGCGTAACAGCCGGCCCAACCGTAACGCCAATAGTATAGTGTGCTCGTCATTCGTGAGAATTTGAACGCCCAAATCCCGAAGCCAATTTCAAAGGTTGATGTCCGAAGAAGTCCATGGCCGAAAGGTAAAGATGACCGTCTTGTCCACATTAAGCCGCATGTCAGTGTCGGCACAGAAATCTTGGACACGATCTGGAAACTTGGGGGCATGGGAGAGATTGTTCACCAAACCCGTAACATCATCAGCAAAACTGACGAGCTGATGGGAGGTATTGCGAATCTTGATGGCAGAAAATTCTGTAGCTGCCCGCAGGTAACACAGCAAAGGCTCAATAAAGAGCACAAATAGACCGGGCGAGAGTGGATCCCCATGACGAACGCCGGCACCCAAGCTGAAGAAGACGAGCGCAAAGAATTAATTAAAACTTGGAACAGTGAACCCCGACAAAAGGTCTTCACCCAATGGTGGAAATTGAGCCCAAATCCCCAATGCTGAAGAACTTGATCCAAGGCTTGCCAGTTGACACTATCAAAAGCTTTGGCAAAGTCGAGGCAAATAGCGCTGGCGGGATCGTGTGAATTCTTCCATCGGCAGTGATCTTGAAGGTCATGAAAATATCGAAGCGCGTGCCGGATGTCACGTCCAGGCACGAAGCCAAATGGATCCACCTCCAGTAAACTGGGCAAAACTAAGTTAAGGCAATAAGCCAATGCTTTTTGGGCCGAACTTGGCATCTTGATTCGGCAAAGTCAAGGGCCGATAGTTCTTGGGTTCCAATCTTGATCCCTTCTTAAAGAGTAGCGAGATGTAGGCGCGGCGTTGAAACTTGGACATGCGACCTAGCCGGAATTGAGCCGCATAAACAAGCTCCAAGACTTGAGCCCACTTGGCAGGAAAAAGCTGGTAGTACTCCGCAGGTAGTCCATCTAGACCTGGCGACTTCCTACGAGCGGTATGCTTCATAGCGTAGAAAAAACATTAGCCGCAATCGGCGCGTCGAGAAGGGAGGCGTGAGTTGACTTGAGCTTTCGATGGCTGTGTTGAAGAATATCTTGAAATTTGGAAGGGTCGAATTGCTGGGAAACGACCTCTAAATCGCGGGAGTTCGATTGAAATACGGTGCCCCAATATCGACGATGAGTCGAAAGAATCATCGACGGCTCCCTTGACAACCCTGAAGACGTGTTGACAGACGATATGGACAGCTTGAGTTCCGCCGCAGCGGGAGCCCGAAAAAAATGTTTAGTAGATTGTTCACCCGAACTAGCATACAGATCAAACATGGAAGCGGCGTTGCGGTCGCGAAGGGCCATTGAAAAGTCCAAATAGGCTTGACGGGACTAATCACGTTGAAGCCGAGTGTAATCACTTGGATCCATAGAGAAACGTTTCTCGCATTCCCGTGAAGCCGGAAGAGGTGCCGGAGTTGACTTGCAGTAGCATCCTTCCGCCTAATATATTCTTGACAAAGAAAAATCGATCGCGCCGTTTGTGCTCATCCAAAAGACACCCAGGATTTTTGCTTGGATCCAACACTGAAGCCAAACGTTTAAGGTTACAGAACAGTTGATCTTGAACTTGGTCGCACTTGAGAAGCCAAGCCGGGCACTTGAATGGTTGTGAATTACTTGGGGTTGGTGAATGTGACGACGCAGAAAATTCCGCTGGTACATGATCCGCGCCCCCAAACTTGGTACCCAAAAGATGAGAAGACGAACGAACAAACTTGTCGTAAAACTCGATACTAGCCAAGCAGTAGTCGATGCGATTCTTGGACTTGGGTCCCGTAAACTCACGCATATCGGGGTTATCGAGTCACCAAAAGTCGATGAGGCCGAGGCTAATCATCCAGTCGAAATCTCAGCACGACCAGCGTCGTGAAAAGTAGATCCAGGCGTAGCTTGGTCCAGTGATGGTTCCATTGTCATATTGAAATCACCCATGACTAAATGGACCACCGAGTATCTCAAGATCTTGATAAACTTGAACAGAAGATAGCTCGATCTTCGGATCGAACAGGTCCATCGACCACATGAAAATAAATTCGAATCGGACACAAATTGGCAGAAACCACCAAATTTCGATTGCCTTATACCGTGAAAAGGGTGTGCTCCATTAAAAAGCATAGCGACACCATTGCGAAGCCCAAACTCGGTCGAAGTGGAATGCGACCAAAACGAGCGGGCATGGGCATCCGCGGCATGCAGAAAATAGTCGTTATCTTGTATCAACTGTTGACTTGAAAGCTTGGTTTCTTGAAAAGCGACGACTTGATATAGTGAAAGTAGATCTTGGTAGAACTGAAGGCGGGGCTTGTTCAACCCATTCATGGCGACGTCATCAGTACGAGAGGTGTCTTGATCCGAAGGCGCAACCGGAGAGCCTGAAGAATCAGCTTGTAAATCCAGTGAAGAATCAAGCGGAGAATTCGCTGGTAAATCAGGTGGCGTGCGGCAAATCGATTTCCGAAGAGACAATACATATCCCTTGGGATCAGAAGGGATAGGCGCACCGGATAGAGAGACCGGACCAGATGGTGAAGACGCCGCAGATTCAGTCTCCTTGCGCGCGGCATCTACCTCTTGACGTAGACGAATTGATGGAGGCGTTATACGGTTGTAACGTGCCACTTTGTGGTTGACGAACACGCACGAAGCTTGACCATGCCGTCGTCCGGCGATGAAAATTCAATCTCACGAAGAGGATTGTCTTGAGAAGGGACCACGACAGAAAGCTCCTGATCTTGCCCAAAATAAACGGTACGTTCGCGCGATGGAAGACCGTTTCGCACGAACGTGGGTAGGACACACGTCGGAGGTGCACCATGTTCCGCAAACCAATCAAAAATCACGCGGTCCGTGACTTCGTCAGGCAGACGGACCAGATCAACGTAGTAACGAGAACCGTACTTCGAAAACCGTGCGAGTTGGATTTGGGAACCAAACGCATTTAGCTTGACCAAACTGAGTTTAGAAGCAGTGTCGTAGGCCGTGCACGTAAAAAGGATCCCTGCATTAGGGATCAGCTTAAAATCTTGAAGAAGACGAGCCTGACGTGCGTCCTTCCACAACTGTGGTTAGTCGTCTTTCGCAATCTCATCGAGTACCTTGGCAAGGTGCTTGCGCCTGATCGCCTGAGGGCGAGGAATCCACATGCGATGCAGCTCTTCCGCACTAGTTGGCGTAGGGGCAAGTTTTAAAGCATTAAGACGCAAAGCGTCTAAGTTACTGAGTGCTAGTTCCGATTCACTGGTCTCAAGCAAAGATTCCGCCGGTACCTGACGGGGGAACTCAGTGCGTCGAGGTGTAGGGCGTGGGTTCACCATGAGTACTAACAACTCCCGACTAAAGTCGTCTACGCGGATGACTGTCTGCGGTAAGAGAGGCAAACTTAAACTCTGAGGGATTCTTTCCACGCAAAGCAAAGAGAGTCTCTACCGGAAGCTATGAAGCGCTAAGTGTACCTTAATACACGGCGCAACGCAACTGCAGTCCTCTAACTTAGAACGACGCAAGTTGTAAATCCCTTGAATGGGAGTTCTTACGGTCTCTCCACCAGCCGCGATAAGCAGTAGGTATCAGGCGACAACAAGGAAGTAGAAAGAAGAGACGCGATAGACTGACGATTAGAGGGAGCAAAAGTAAACAAAGGTGTTACCACTGAAGAAGACGAGTAGCTCAGCGAGATACCGAGAACGTAGGCGGCGACGGAGTGGCGGCAAGACGAGCACAAAGGAGACGACTTCGAAGAGAAGAAAACGAGAGCGAAAGACTTGGAGCGAGAGGACAACGTACAAAGACGGGCTTGAACGGTGTCGCAAGGGTGGGCCATTTTCTGAAGGAGTGTGCAGTAGAAGGCAAATTGAGAGCTGGAGGGCAAGTCTGGTAGATTGCGTATCATTATACTTTGAAAAGGGTTGGCTCTACCTAAAGAGAAAGTGTAAGCCCTAAAAGGACATAGGCAATATGAAATAATGGGCGCGGCGCAATTCGAACTCCGAGAGAAAAAATCGAAGTAAAAGTCGGAAGTAGCGGCTCCATAGCAGGCGGAAATGTCGCACTTAAGCGGAACGATTGGGTAGTCCATCTTGAAGTACAACAGCAACTTGAACGGCTTGAAAAGAAAAATGGTAAGTTGAATGTCATGAAGCCATTCCGCAAGGTAAATAGCTAGTAAAGACAAAAGTCTTGGAAATCTTGAAGTTCTTCCGCATGGAAAAACTGCAGCTTGAATAGCTTGAAAAGACTGGGAAAATCCTTGAAAATCTTGTAGTTATTCCGCAAAATAAAACTGCAGCTTGAATAGCTGGAAAAGACTGGGAAAATCCTTGAAAATCTTGAAGTTATTCCGCAACGAAAAACCGCAACTTAAATAGCTTGAAAAGACTGGGAAAATCCTTGAGAATCTTGAAGTTATTCCGCAAGAAGATAGTAGGAATTTTCGGAAAAGTCGCGGTACCATTCATCACTGAAAGCAAGAAGTTGAGCCTTGAGTCGAATGTTGTCCTTCTTTCTCGTGTACATCATCGTCTTGAAAAAAAACGCTGAAGATGAAGACGAACCATGGTCAGACATTGACGGAAGACACCCATAAATTGTTTATGGGGGGTCGAAAATCGCCATGTTGCTATTGAGCTTAAGCGTCCGTAAAATAACAATGCGAAACATGTTGAAGAGTCGAACCGGAGGTAGCGAGCCAAACAGATCTTGGCGACGCACCGGAACGTCCAAGTGAAGCAGCGACAAAACATGGGGCCAGCCGATCGTAGACTGGAAAATTCGTGAAAACGGGGGAAGAAATAATAGCCACAGACGCTTGGCCATATAGCAATCCCATAGTAAATGATGGGGTTTTTCCGGAGTAATACAACTGTGAACACAATGAACGTCCGCCGTGTGTCATTGGTACTGTATCGGAAACCAAGTTCATATTGCTGGAGCCAAAAGACGAAGTCAGAATAGACTGGCAGAACATCGCGTTGGAGCAGCCGTTCGAGCGCCCAATGTGAAGACCCAATAACCACTTCAGGAACCGAGAGCTGAAGAAGTGGAAGGGGCGGCGGCCCTTGATCAAGCAACAGACGCTTGATGACCCGGTATGACACTGTGGCAATGTCAACACCATCGAAAGTCCATACATGAAGTGCGCCGACCATCCTATCAGGCGGCAGCGGAAATATCGCGAAATCTTGATAGTGTGCGGGAAAGCAAGTCGTGGAACCAGCTTTGGACCACAGAAGTCATCGAGCGGCCCGGCTTGATCGAAGAGGAAGCCAAAGAAATCCGAAGAGTATCTTCATCCGGAAGCGAGCCAAAAACGGAGAGAAAAGTCAAAATCCTTGTAACATCTTGATGACTGAGAGACTTGCAGGCCTTCTGATGGAGCACTGCTAGTTTCCGCTTGTCCTCCGTAAACCGAATCAACAAATTATTCCAAATTTGCCACGTTGGCTTGGTCAAAACTGGGTTCATAAATTGAAGCTTGGGAAAATCTTGGTGCTCCAAGTAGCAATAGCAGCCTTCCAGCAGTCGAGAATGGCGTACCAGCGAGAAGATTGAGCCAAAGGCGAAAGCGGAATACAGAGAAAATCCAAACCCGAACCTTGACCGCCGAAACCGAGTCAATCGCAGCTTGAGCAGGAACAAACCACTTGGACGGAGTGGAATAGTCGTGACAGCTTTGACGAATTAACTGCCGGACGAGATTAACTTGAAGGAGTTCCACCGAAGTCGCAATCGAAGGTAACTCAAGGCCGCCCGAAAATGCATCCACTGGGTGCCAAGCGCTTGGAAATTAACTCCTTGAAGCTGGTTCGGTCACCGTACTTGATGGGGTACAATTGATGAAGTTCCGCGTAAGCGGATTGAACTTGAGCAAATCTTTCTTCGACACGGCCACAGTACCTAAAAAATGCCAGAGTGTCGAAAGAATCATGGTCTTGAGAATAAGCACTCGACCCCTCAGGGTACGAGCACACCAACGCCAAGACACACAGAGCTTCTGCACCCGAACAAGAAGCTGTGAAAGTTGCAGTTGTGACGTAACAGCTGGCCCAACCGTAACGCCTAATAGTGTAGTGTGTTCGTCATTCGTGAGAATTCGAACGCCCAAATCCCGAAGCCGATCTTGAAGGTTGATCTCCGAAGAAGTCCATGGCCGAAAGGTAAAGATGACCGTCTTGTCCACATTAAGCCGCATGCCAGTGTCGGCACAGAAATCTAGGACACGATCCGGAAACTTGGCGGCATGGGAGAGATTGTTCACCAAACCCGTAACATCATCAGCAAAACTGACGAGCTGATGAGAGGTATTGCGAATCTTGATGGCAGAAAATTCTGTAGTTGCCCGCAGGTAACACAGCAAAGGCTCAATAAAGAGCACAAATAGACTGGGCGATAGTGGATCCCCTTGACGAACGCCGGCACCCAATCTGAAGAAGTCCGAGCGCGAAGAATTAATTAAAACTTGGACCAGTGTACCCCGACAAAAGGTCTTTACCCAATGGCGGAAATTGAACCCAAATCCCCAATGCTGAAGAACTTGATCCAAGGCTTGCCAGTTGACACTATCAAAAGCTTTGGCAAAGTCGAGGCAACTAGCGCTGGCGGGATCTTGTGAATTCTTCCATCGGCAGTGATCTTGAAGGTCATGAAAATATCGAAGCGCGTGCCGGATGTCACGTCCAGGCACGAATCCAAATTGATCCACCTCCAGTAAACTGGGCAAAACTTGGTTAAGGCAATAAGCCAATGCTTTTTGGGCCGAACTTGGCATCTTGATTCAGCAAAGTCAAGGGCCGATAGTTCTTGGGTTCCAATCTTGATCCCTTCTTAAAGAGTAGCGAGACGCGGCGTTGAAACTTGGACATGCGACCTAGCCGGAATTGAGCCGCATAAACAAGCTCCAAGACTTGAGCCCACTTGGCAGGAAAAAGCTGGTAGTACTCCGCAGGTAGTCCATCTGGACCTGGAGACTTCCCACGAGCGGTATGCTTCATAGCGTGGAAAAAATCATTAGCCGTAATCGGCGCGTCGAGAAGGGCGGCGTGAGTTGACTTGAGCTTCCGATGGATGTGTTGAAGAATATCTTGAAATTTAAAAGGGTCGAATTGCTGGAAAACGACCTCCAAATCGCGGGAGTTCGATTGAAAAACGGTGCCCCAATATCGACGATGAGTCGAAAGAATCATAGACGGGTCCCTTGACAACCCTGAAGACGTGTTGACAAACGATATCGACAGCTTGAAATTTTCCGCAGCGGGAGCTCAAAAATGTTTAGTAGATTGTTCAACAAACTTGCCGTAAAACTCGATACTAGCCAAGCAGTAGTCGATGCGATTCTTGGACTTGGGACCCGTAAACTCACGCAGATCGGGGTTTTCGAGTCGCCAAAAGTCGATGAGGCCGAGACTAATCATCCAGTCGAAAGCTCAGCACGACCAGCGTCGTGAAAAGTAGATCCAGGCGTAGCTTGGTCCAGTGATGGGTTCATTGTCATATTGAAAACACCCATGACTAAATGGACCGCCGAGTATCTCAAGATCTTGATAAACTTGAATAGAAGATGGCTCGATCTTCAGATCGAACAGGTCCATCGATCACATGAAAATAAATTCGAATCGGACACAAATTGGCAGAAACCACCAAATACCGATTGCCTTATACCGTGAAAAGGGTGTGCTCCATTAAAAAGCATAGCGACACCATTGCGAAGCCCAAACTCGGTCGAAGTGGAATGCGACCAAAACGAGCGGGCATGGGCATCCGCGGCATGCAGAAAATAGTCGTTATCTTGTATCAACTGTTGACTTGAAAGCTTGGTTTCTTGAAAAGCGACGACTTGATATAGTGAAAGTAGATCTTGGTAGAACTGAAGGCGGGGCTTGTTCAACCCATTCATGGCGACGTCATCAGTACGAGAGGTGTCTTGATCCGAAGGCGCAACCGGAGAGCCTGAAGAATCAGCTTGTAAATCCAGTGAAGAATCAAGCGGAGAATTCGCTGGTAAATCAGGTGGCGTGCGGCAAATCGATTTCCGAAGAGACAATACATATCCCTTGGGATCAGAAGGGATAGGCGCACCGGATAGTGAGACCGGACCAGATGGTGAAGACGCCGCAGATTCAGTCGCCTTGCGCGCGGCATCTGCCTCTTGACGTAGACGAATTGATGGAGGCGTTACACGGTTGTAACGTGCCACTTTGTGGTTGACGAAACACGCACGAAACTTGACCATGCCGTCGTCCGGCGATGAAAATTCAATCTCACGAAGAGGATTGTCTTGAGAAGGGACCACGACAGAAAGCTTCTGATCTTGCCCAAAATAAACGGTACGTTCGCGCGATGGAAGACCGTTTCGCACGAACGTGGGTAGGACACACGTCGGAGGTGCACCATGTTCCGCAAACCAATCAAAAATCACGCGGTCCGTGACTTCGTCAGGCAGACGGACCAGATCAACGTAGTAACGAGAACCGCACTTCGAAAACCGTGCGACTTGGATTTGAGAATCAAACGCATTTAGCTTGACCAAACTGAGTTTAGAAGCAGTGTCGTAGGCCGTGCACGTAAAACGGATCCCTGCATCAGGGATCAGCTTAAAATCTTGAAGAAGACGAGCCTGACGTGCGTCCTTCCACAACTGTGGTTAGTCGTCTTTCGCAATCTCATCGAGTACCTCGGCAAGGTGCTTGCGCCTGATCGCATGAGGGCAAGGAATCCACATGCGATGCAGCTCTTCCGCACTAGTTGGCGTAGGGGCAAGTTTTAAAGCATTAAGACGCAAAGCGTCTAAGTTACTGAGTGCTAGTTCCGATTCACTGGTCTCAAGCAAAGATTCCGCCGGTACCTGACGGGGGAACTCAGTGCGTCGAGGTGTAGGGCGTGGGTTCACCATGAGTACTAACAACTCACAACTAAAGTCGTCTACGCGGATGACTGTCTGCGGTAAGAGAGGCACTCTTAAACTCTAAGGGCTTCTTCCCACGCAAAGAAAAGAGAGTCTCTACCGAGAGCTATGAAGCGCTAAGTGTACCTTAGTACACGGCGCAACGCAGCTGCAGTCCTCTAACTTAGAACGACGCAAGTTGTAAACCCCTTGAATGGGAGTTCTTACGGTCTCTCCACCAGCCGCGATAAGCAGTAGGTATCAGGCAACAACGAGGAAGTAGAAAGAAGAGACGCGATAGACTAACGATTAGAGGGAGCAAAAGTAAACAAAGGTGTTACCACTGAAGAAGACGAGTAGCTCAGCGAGATACCGAGAACGTAGGCGGCGACGGAGTGGCGGCAAGACGAGCACAAAGGAGACGACTTCGAAGAGAAGAAAACGAGAGCGAAAGACTTGGAGCGAGAGGACAAAGGACAAAGACGGGCTTGAACGGTGTCGCAAGGGTGAGCCTTTTTCTGAACGAGTGTGCAGTAGAAGGCAAATTGAGAACTTGAGGGCAAGTCTGGTAGAATGCGTCACATTATACTGATTTTACGGCATTTCACAGATAATTTGTCAGTGGAAGGCGTAGTTGTTCAGCTGTTCACCGTTACCAATTACCTGTTTCGACCCCCACTTCAGTCCGATACAGTTTGCACCGATGGAAGGGATCGAACCCTCAATCAGCGACTTGAAAGTCAGCTTACTGCGCCCCTACACCAGGGCTCCACCCCTTTGAGGGCAAGTCTGGTGGATATTTTCATTATGCTAGTTAGAGTAGAAAGAGTAATCTAGGCTAAAACCTAAATAAAGAGGTTGAAAACTAGGCCGGGCCAAGAATTACAGCGAAAACGAGATACCCGACCCAGCCAACCACAGCCAATCAAGACACAACAGTAAGTAAAAGAACCGACCGAAATTTAAGAGATGACACCCGCGGCAGACATCCCGCAGGCGGAGAGACCCGCCACAGGCGGAGAGGACGCAGAGCGCCAGTAGACAGCAAGGGTCACAGATCAAGGCGACGGACCGGCGACGCCACCCGAGGAGCAGTTATCCGCGACCCAGCAGTTGTTGGCCAGGATAGCGGCAGGTCAGGAGACGCTCGCCGGGATGAAACGGCGCAGGAAGCAGGAGCTGAAGGCCGCACGCGAGAAGAATCCCCGACCGGACTTGGACCAGTTCTAGACGCGTGCCGTGTTCCAGAAGAGGGCCAAGAAAGGTAAAGGCCGTCTGGGGCTGAGACGGGTGTCGCGGAAGAAATGTCGGCTGAAGAAGCCGAAGCGAAGTGGGTGCTTCGTGATAGGCGGACCCAAATGGCCACCAGCAGCCCCGGTCAAGTTGACGGAGGAAGACGAAGACGGCAGTGACGCGGAAGGAGATGACGGAGACGACGACTACGACTATGGCGGAGGTGAAGACGCGCAAGACGACGGCAACGGCGAAGACGAAGAAGGAAGCAACGACGACCACATCGAGGAGGACGACGGCGGAGAGGCGAGCGGAAGACAAACTGCGACGGAGACGCCCGGGCCGACGGCGGAACAGCAGGACAACCAAGCCCAGAGTGCCACGCGCCAATGGTTGATCCATCACGTCCCTGTGGGCGAGGCGGCACCGTGGCCTACGGACATCCGACAGACGCTCACGATGTTGAACATGGACAACATATCGTTCCGAATGGACGGTGCGCGGGAGGAGAAATGCGGCTGCGTAGGAAGATGCTTTCTTGGTTGCTGCAGGAATGCCCGCGAGGCGCAAGTTTGTGAGGCCGAGACCTGTTCGGTAGGGGCCAAGGGTTGTGAAAACCGGTTCCGTCAGCGACGGCTGACCCTGAAGCGGACCGACATGGGGCTGGGGGTGTTCGCAGCCCGCTCGATCCGAGCGGGCGACGTCGTGTGCCATTACTACGGGAAGTATGCACATGAAGTATCCCCGTACGCCCATTACACGATCGAGCTGACGGAGAGGGACGCCAACGGGTGGCGAGTGTATGTGTGCGCTGAGGACTGCGGCTCGATCGCGCGGTCATAGCCCACGCCTGCCAGCCAAACACTAATTTCTTGGAAGTGAGAGGGATACGGAGGCCGATCATATCCCTCGTGGCGCAGGTCGACATTCGGATCGGGACAGAGATAACGGTGGACTTTACCGGGGCGACAGGAGAGACGTTGTGGTTCCAGTGCCAGTGCGCCGTCCACCAAGCCCAAGACTCGACAACGTAGGCGGTGAGTAAGTAGATCAAAAATGGCCATAGTAGGGGTAGGAATGAGTAGCGAGCTGGAAGTAGTGAAGGGTGAAGGGGAAAGCCCGGAACCATAGGGGATTACACCAACAAATACAGGAAGTTTCCATCCAAAGCGGAACCGTAGGCATTGGTGGTCGGTGAGAAAACACCCGCCCACCGCGCGAAGACCCAGAAGCAACAGGTAGATAGCAAGAATAGCACTGTAGGAAGTACGTCCAGCCATCGAAAAGGTCGAACCAGTCGTAGTGATGGAGCAATCAGGTCGCATAGGCCGCCAGATAGTCCAAAAACTTATAGTATCGAAAAGTAACCCCAGGCAGTGGTGGTCGGTGAGAAAACATCCACCCACCACGCGAAGACCCAGAAGCGACAGGTAGATAGCAAGAATAGCACTGTAGGAAGTACTTCCAGCCATCAAAAAGGTCGAACCAGTCGTAGTGATGGAGCACTCAGGTCGCATAGGCCGCCAGATAGTCCAACCACACACAGGATGGGAAAAGACCCCGAAATAGGCGTAAGCATCCCTCACACCTGCGAACGAAGGAGCCGACTCAGCCGAGCCAGGCGCGTGTTGGTGGAGAGGCTAGAGGCCAACCGATCGAGGTGAAGGCGGACATAGGCCGCCCCTCGACTAAGAGGCACGATAGGGGAAGAGGGGACCTCTTGGAAAATCCGGTCATTCCGATGTAGCCACAATGGGTAGAATACCGAGCAGCAGACCACATTGAGCACCATGAGCAGGTTGTGACGGGTATAGCATTGAACAGCCGCCTCTGTGAAACGAAGGTCTAGGAGGTAAAGTACCTGTGGCCAAGTGATTGGCCCGTCGACAAGGGAGTCGAACTGGGTAAGAAGTGGAGCCCATACCGCCTGAGCAATTGGGCAGTCCCAAAAGAGATGTCGGGTTGACTCCACAGTAGCACACCCGTGTGGACAACAGACATGAGTCGTATGATAGGCATGCTTTCGACGCACCCCCAACGCGTTGTGCTGGAGCCGAAATTTCAGGTCAATCAGGACTGGTAAAACGAATCGATCCAGGGAAATCTCGAGCTTCCAGAGGGTGGCCCAATTAGGCGGGACGTCTAGCTCGTGAGCAGTATGAGGCCAACGCACGATAGGAGGGAGGTCATGGAGCATGTGATAGAGGCGCCGGTTCGATAGTTTCCCAAACGCATTTCCTTGGAAGGACCAACCATGATTGGCGCTATTGAGCAGACCAGGTAACGCAGGACCCAGAAAGGAATCGAGCGAGGCCAGCCCCCTTGACCCGAGCTTCGACATGAAGTGGGATGCCGTTAGAGAGCGGAGACGTGGGGTCGAAAAAATTAAATCCTTAAGGAGAGACAAGCAGAGACGGAGATCAGGAGGCCGCCCGTGTCGAAGCAGAAAGTCCCGAAGGCGGATAAATCCTTGATCCCGAAAATGTAACACCAGCTTAGACGAGTTTTCAAATAGACGTCCCAGCGATCCCACACGGTAGCGAAAGTTACGCCACAGGGAAGCATCGAGTTCGAATGAGCCGTGAGGAGTGGAATGGTGCTGTGAGGATAAGTGACGATGCCAAGTCTGCAAGGTAGAATACCAGAACCGACCGAGCGGCGCCCATAATATCAGAGGAGCGATCGAGCGTGGAACAGGGAAGTACAAAATGTCTAACCCAGACCCCGCCCGCTTCAATGTCGAAGAGAAAAGGGTGAGACCAGGAGAACACCACCTGGAAACTGTGGAAGGATGCCCGGCAGACCGAACCCCATCCCGTAGAGAGCAGAGCTGAAGCGTGGAAGCAAACGTAGCGATGTTAGGGAGACCAAGACCACCACGAGAGGTAGGCCAGTACAGCCATTCCTCTTCCATCGGTCCTCGAACTGCTAATCTCGCCGATATATCCCGGTTAAAAGAAACTTTTGCACAACCGAGTGACCTGTGAGGCGACTAGAGTGGGTAAGGAGGTTACAGCTGCAGTATACCAGAGCAATGGTAGCACAATGGTCCGAAGAATGACGGCGCGACCACGGAGCGTTCTGGCCCGATAACGCCATAGTTGACAGCGGGTGACCATACGAGGAAAACTCCGGTCGTAGCGGTGGCAGGCTGGCAAGCACGGGCTTTGGGCGATACCCAGCAAGACGGTGGGCTCATAATCAGCCACCACAGTGAAGCCTTGGTGCTGGAGAGAGACCCGAAGAGCAGGGTCACAGGCAGTGAAAGGCAGGACCTTGGTCTTGGACACATTCAGTTTAAGTCCAGCAGCCTTAGCGTAGGTGCCAACATTTCCGACGAAAAGGGGTGCGTCAGCCAAGTCCTTTAGTATGCCAGTACAATCGTCGGCGAAAGCAAGTAGGTGGTGGAAGACAGGGTCGGTAGGAACGCTAACCCCAAACCCTCCAGTAGTAGCCCGAAGGTAGTTAAGCATAGGTTCAATGAAGAGAACAAACAGAGCTGGAGAAAGAGGATCCCCCTGACGAACCCCGCATCCTAGTTTGAAGAATCGACTGGCCCGACCATTAACTAGGACTGTAACCAGAGTCCCAGAGTAGAAGGTCTTCACAGCACGTTGAAAATTGGGGCCAAAGTCTAGATGTTCGAGCACTAAGCTCAGCGATGGCCAGATAACGCTGTCAAAGGCCTTGGCAAATTAAGAATGACCGCGCCCTCACGCGTCTTCCCAGTAGAGGTGCAAAATTGCTGAAGGTCCTGGAAACTTAGGAGAGAGTGACGGATCGAACTACCCGATACGAATCCAGTTTGGTCCTCGTAAAGTACATGAGGTAATACGTCGCGTAACCGATGAGCCAATATTTTGGGACCAAGTTTGGCATCATGGTTGAGGAGAGTAATTGGACGGTAGTTGCCAGGAACAGTACGATCACCTTTCTTGTATAGCAGAGATATAGAGGCACGCCTCTGAAATTTGGTCATGCGTGTTGACGGTCATCAGTTTCCTACCAGTGTTGGTAACCATAACCGGTCCAATCCGAACCGCCTGTTTAGCTGAGTATTTACGACGTAGTTCTTACGGTAATTACCATAGTTGATTAGACGCGTAGGATGATGAGACGCTTCACATGATTTATATGTGCACCACATATAAATCATGTAGTAAGTAGTAAGCCCCGATAATCAATCACTTTCGAATTCTCCTTCTGCCGAGCAAGTCTTCTCTGCTCCGCTCCTCAAGCCTCTTCGCTCTATCCGGTCTCTTCCGGTCTTCTCGTCACTCCCGTGCCATACCATCAACAATGCGCCCCAGACGAAATTGGTTCGCGTACACGAGTTCAAAAATACGTGCCCAAGAATGCGGGTTGAGCTGATAGTATTCGACTGGCAAACCGTCAAGGCCGATGGACCGACCTTTAAAAGACGATCGAATAGCCCAGTAGAAGTCGTTCGCCGTCATTGGTGCCTCAAGATGAAGCCGTGAAGCTGCAGGGACCGAGGAGGTTGTGTAACGGAGCAGCCGAAGAAGCTCCAACGGTTGAAAGGGTGACAGAGGTAGAGTAGGTAAAATGTCGCGAGAAGGGCTGCGGTAAAGATTACCCCAATAACCCCGGTGGATGGCAGCCATTTCATCAGGATCAGTGGTTGACGAGCCATCAGGGAGCGATACGCTTGGGATGGAGACAGCGAAGTTGACGGTGGAGGGTGCCCGAAAAAAATAGGACGACCCGGTTTCACCCTCACTAATGTCCTTGTCGAATTTAGCTGCCGCACTGCGAGCAGCGATAAACTCACGGTGAACCTTGAGTGCCATGGGAGCCCGTAACAAGGCAGCAGAAGAGCCGGCAGTGCCGGTAGAAGCATGGGCAGAGGTCGCCATATGGTACTTTTCGGTAAGGACCCTTTCTTTAGCTAAGTCCGCATTCTTGAGCTCGTGAAACATTTGACGTAAAAATATGGCGTCGGCGCGCTTGTGCTCATCCAGCACCGCGCCTGGGTTATCGTCTATTCCAGTGCGTAGTCGGTCGCACATGGCAGTAAGAGTGCAGTCTAAAACTGACTTGACAACAGGGTGCTTAACAAGCCACCTGGGGTACTTCCAGGGCAGTCGGGAACGCTCGGGGTGGAGAGGGGACTGAAGCTTAAAAGCCAGTGGGAGATGGTCGGCATGATGCCACTTATGGTCAAAGACATGAGAGATATCGACCAAGAAATCCGCAAGAAGCGCCGTCGACGCGAAACCGTAGTCAATTCGATTACGCCGTCCAGGCCCTGTAAATTCGCGGAGTAGGGGATGGGTAGCACGCCAAGCGTCGACAACGCCAAGGCGTAGCTGCCAATCCAATCATCCCCCACGCCCCGCCGAAGTTCGAGTAGGGATAAGTTCATCGAGGGAGGGGTCGATGGGCACATTAAAGTCACCCAAGGCTAGATGGTGACAATCTTCAGGAAAGGTGTGAGGTAGAGCGGTGAAAAAAGGCTCACGCGCTCCGCCAGCAACCGGCGCGTAGACCACGTATAAGAAAATTCGCAAGCCGCCAAGTACAGCTTCAACGATCAGGTAACGATCGGTAAGACAGGGACGACAATCCACATAGCACTCGGTGACGTCCCGAAGTGAGGTAAATGGGTGATCTCCCCGGAAAATAAGGCCGACTCCGTCATGCCCACGAGAATCAGAGTAGTCAGAGGTGATGCTGTGAGACCAAAAGGTGGCCGCCCTGGAGTCCACCAGGTGAACAAAAAATTTAAACGCTTGACAGTGTCCCAAGAGCTGAACTTCGTTTCCTGGAACGCTTCCACGGAGAATTTAGAGAAGAGTTGAGTAAATAGAAGTTGTGTCCGCGAGTTAAGCCCGTTGATGTTGACAGACACGCCGTTGAGCGCCCATGGTAAAATCAGAGAGTTTGCATGACATCGGAGGCAGACCCCTCCTCGGAGGCCATGTCGTCATCAGACGCCGCACAAATCAATGCGAGTGAGGACTCGACGTGAATAGGGAAAGAAGTCCCGAACTGTTGAGGAATGTCACTATGACAAAGCGCCAGAAGTACCGTATCGGACCAAAGTAGGAACTCCGAGAACGGAAGACAATCAGGGAACCGCAATTTAGTGACAGCCGCGACCTTGAAGGGGTCGTTGTAAATCATGGCCGCGTGAGTGCGAAAGAGAAGGTCGACAGACGCAAGGGCTTGGCGGTGTCGCGGCTAAGTTGGGACGGGTATACATGAGCCAGAA